AAAAATCTATCAATCTTGGTAGTCTATTTCTATAAATAAAGAAACACCAGAATTCAACAAAAAAAAGATAAGTAATTTCCTTTTGTGATATAAATACATTAAATGCTAGTTCATCTATCCAAAGATAAATTATTAAATTGAATATGGAATGGAGGAGTAGATACATGTCATTTATGGGCTGAGCACGATATATGGTATTTTATATTCGATATTTTTACTTACTCCTTTAAAGCTGAAGAATGGTGCACAGATCTCAATGCGTATAATGTAGATATGGTTGGGGAGAAGAGAACCATATAATTTACCAGTTGTTCGTTACCAAACAAATTAAATTGAAATTTATGTTTGATAATGACTTGAGAGTGTGTCGTGTTAGATAAAAACATGGTGATTTGACATTATGGATGACTTAACCCTAACCAATTTTCTTTTCCTTTATCCTTTTTTTTCTTTTCGTATTTATGAAAACTAGTAGATCTCAAATCTCCATAAGATCTGGAAGTCAATAGAGTTTCCCATAACAGCTGTTATAATTAATACATTTTAACTTACGATAAATATTAATCTCTGAGAGCCTACTAGAGTCTAGAGGCTAGAACATTGGAGGAATCGAGGGATTGACCTAACTGATCTCTGTTGTAATTTGGTGTGACCTTTGATTTAGGCAAATATTTTGTGGAAATGCCAGAAGGACACTTTGGTAGCTGTCACTTGGGAGAATTTTAAATATACATCAATTACTGAAGATGAACGCAATTATTTATACTAGATCCTAGTAACTATGTAAAATTGTAAATTGTTATTCAAGTGGTCTTGGCTCATCTTAGATTTGTAACTAAAATTATTTCGGTTTGGGTTTCACTGTTAACATTGTAGGCAAAAGAAAAATTCTTCTCTATAATAAACATACGCATTTGCGAGTACAAATCATTGTTTCATCTCAACTTCACCCGTCTGTTTATAGATTTTATAGATTTGTACTCGCAAATGTTAAAGATTTTATATCTCTATGGAAATATTCAACTTCCAGCCAGTTCAGTGATTATAACATGTGATCATGGCTCTTTAGATAACCCAAAGAAAGCCAAGATAGCAGCAAATATGTTTGAAGAGATCAAAGCTTTCAGCACCATCTTCTTTTTGGGTGTGTAAGGAGGATATCTTAGATCCGCATCCCCTGAAAAGCTCCGGTATAGTACTCCTTTCTTATGGCTAAACGTCTCATACGAGAATTTCCCGTGGTAAGCCCCGATCCCGCTCTCCCCAACCCCTCCAAATGGCATATCTTTTACAGTTACCTGCGAACAAAACAAACCATCTAATAAGAGCTAGCATTATGGAAAACAGAACATTGGTCTTGTATGAGAAAAGACGTCTTTTTTACGTGTAAGACAGTGTCATTAATGGTCATTCCTCCTGCAGATACGTTCTGCACGAATTGTTTCTGCAACTCTGCGCTGTTTGTGAACAGATACGCTGCTAAAGGCTTTGGCTTTGAACGTATAACCTGAAAGCCATCTTCAATCTTTTGCACCGTAAATACGGGAAGTAAAGGTCCAAATATCTCTTCCTGCATCATGGAAGATGCTTCTGGCACATCCAGTAGAATCGTTGGAGATATTTTTCTGTAAAGAAACATTACAGAACACAGTGATTAGTTTTTATTTTTATCCCCATGAACAATTTTATCGATTGGTAACATGTTCTCTCACAGCTTATCTTCGGTTGTTTGGCCACCATGAACAATTTTGTTGTCGACTCCATTCTCTTTTAACATACTCTCCAACCGTTTGAAGTGGAAAGAGTTCACAATCCGCGACAGATCCTTTGATTCTAATGCGTTTTGCCCAAAAAATGTCTCCAGTTCAGTCTTCAGAGCATCTATCTGTACCGCATGATTTGAATCAGCAAGCTTGAGAGAAACAAATAAAGCATTGTTATTCATTAAGCTTTTAATGCAAGTAGCCTTTACCAATTTTGATGCAAAATCCTTTGTTGTGATCACGTAATCGACGCCAATGCAAGCCTGTCCACTGTTACAAGCCCATTTCCCTGCGATGATCCTCCTTGCAGCCACCTTCGTTGACAACACCACGATTAGAGTATGCAACCTGAATTTTTCTATTTTATGCTTTAGAAGCAGAGATAGATCTTAACATGTAGATTAACATCTGAATCAACAAGAGCTGGGCACTTTCCACCAAGTTCGAGAACCACTGGAGTAAGATTTTTCGCAGCTGCAGCCATTATAATGCGAGCAACTCTTGCTCCACCTAAATAAATGCTTTTAACTAATTAAAATCATGCTTTCCTGAGATCCTAATTAACATGTCAAAGATTCTTGAAAGAAAAAGAGAGATGGCAAACCAGTGAAGAAGATCTTGTCCCATTTTTGATCAAGTAGTGCTGTTGTTTCAGGGACTCCTCCCTCTATAACTCTGATTGTTGTATTGTCCAAGTATTCACTGAACAACTTTGCTAAAAGAGAAGATGCTGCTGGAGCGATTTCAGAAGGTTTTAGCACAACCGCATTACCAGCTGCAATAGCTCCAATGACTGGCTCGACAGACAATACTGGGGAAAAAAACACCATGAAGACATATAAAGTATAAACTTTAATTGAATATTAATGAGACAAAATTTTGAAAAACAATCTGAGCTTACAGAAAGGGAAATTCCAGGCTGAGATAACCAAAACAACTCCTAGCGGCTCTGAGACTATTTGTGCAGATGAGGGAAATGTCGTCACAGAAGTTTTGACCTGAAAGGTCCAAGCATAGATCAGGCAAGTGGTTTAGAATGAAAACATATCAATGAAGCAACAAAAGCTTGAAGAGTCTAGTTACCGTTTCTGGAGCCATCCAGTTCTTCAACTCTTTGATTGCAAGCATACAGGATGATTTTGTATTCGAAATCTGAGAAAACGAGATGATACCAAAGTGATTCAACAGTGGATAAGTAGAATGTACAGAAGGAAAGGGACATTCAAATTTATATGAAAAAAAACCTCAGCTAGAAAAGCTTCAAGCTCAGGCTTGGAAAGGTCTTGATACAAAGCTTCGGTGATGCATTTCTCCTTCTCATCAATCATCTTAGCAATGCTTTGAAGCTGAGAAATTCTCCACTCATAGCTCTTTGTTCTGCCAGTGTTGAAGTTGCTTCTGAGCTCTTCAACAAGCAAAGCTGCTTCTTTTCCATCAAAAGCTGATGTTTGCTCCTTTACCACAGCAGATAGTGTTGCATAGCAAGTACTGATTCAAGAAACCAAAACCGCAATGTGAGAGACTTAAAGTAGTGTACTTTTAACTGTTCTTATTATTGTTTACGGCAGCAAGTACTGTACTTAAACTTAAAACCACTTTACTAAATACTAGATAGAAATGTAATCATCAAAAAATCAGTATGTAAAAAACCACTTTTGTGAATTAAATATGTAAAATGGGTGAATAAAGAAAGGTGCTTACAATTTCAAGCGATAAGGGATACAAGTTTTGCTGCAATATCCACCACCACCACCACGAGATATCAGAAAGGGTGAAGTTGCAACATTTAATCTGCAAGAAAGAGGCCATTCACTCATGATGCAATCTGTTTTTTAGAATGGTTCTAATGAGATCTGATTCTCTATAAAATGGTAATCATATCATATTGATTGACCCAATCATTCACAGAAGGATCCATTCCTCAAATTAACAGTTTCATTACTAGACCAAATTCAACTTAAAGGTAACTCTTTTATACAGGAAACGAGAAACCCAAAACGCAATTCACAAAAAGAGGAAGGCTTGTTTCGAGAAACAGAATCGAACAACTCAATCTCGAACCTGATAAGCAAGTTTTCAAGTTACCTGGTACGAGAAAAACCCTTGGCAAAACAAAGGGCATGATTCATCTCTACAAGCTTCGTCATGACTTGGGTTCAGTTAAAAATCTCAAATTGGAGACATTGGTGTTATATTTGAGAGTGAGAGAGGAGACGTTGAAGGGTGTGTGGTCGTAAGAGAAGACGTGTTGAAGAGACAAGTGTGTGTGTGTGTGTGTAATAAAAAGCATTGGCCAAATTTACAGCCACAAAGCCCGCTCAAAGGCGAATTACGTGAATACGGCTCATGCTGGTCTTGGTGGTCTCTGTGTCGAATTCGACGACGCTCCTGCTAATTCGTGAAATTGAGGTTTTGGGTTTTTCAACGTAGTGAGTGGTGATAATGGGCTTTATTTATTTCATTGTGTGAAGCCATTCACACAGTCTTCGTGCTTGTAAAGTAGAAGAAGAAAAAAAAAAAATCAATTAAGGAAAAGATCCAAAGGTTTGATCCTGTGGGGCTGGCTACAGCAGAGATTTTAGCGGTACTTCTCAAAATTCTACTCGATATGGTTGAGGAAAACAAAAAAAAAAAAAAAAAAAAACTCGATATGGTTAAAAAGAAATTAGCGTTTGCGAAAAATAAAATTTAGTTAGATGCGGTAAGAGAGTATTCAAAGATGATGACAAAAGACAAAAAAAGTTTCTGTCTAACCGTATGGAATAAAGTCCAATTACATTTACATGTTTCAAATGCTTAATTACAAGAATTGCCTAAACACACTTCTTTCGTTCTTCCAATTTTTGAGATGTTTATAGTTGACCTAATTAGTTCTATAGAATTATAGTTTATGAGCTAGCTAAACCAAAAACTCAGTATTTGTGTAAAAAGTGTGACAAAGAGAGTGGTACTTTGCTAATTACATTATGGTACAAACTACAACGTAAACAAAATAGTATAATGAGATGCGTTTTGATTGTTTTTAAATGTCAATTTATACGTTTGCGTTTACTTTTGAAAAAACAAACTAAAAAGGGATTAGTACACAAAGGCAGATACAAAACTAAAGCCTATTCTCCAAACCATGCAACATGTTTTGTATATGTTTTTCTTCTTCTCTATTGCCAGTTCTTCTTGAACTTAGAATACTAAGTTTACTTTTTTACATATATATAAGTACCAAACTCTAACACAGAATTCATTTTAACAATCATGACCACATCAACCAACATTTGCGCTGCCTCCCACCTCGCCGTCCTCCTCACCACTTCCTCTAACATCAACTCTTCCTCTGCCGCAGCATCCCTCCTTTGCTCTCACATCTCAAAAATCTCCAACAAATTTTCAGACACAACTTTCGCTGTTGATACCACATACCTTCTTTTCTCTACGTACATCGTCTTCACCATGCAAATAGGCTTTACCATGCTAAGCGCTGGTTCAATCCGCGCCAAAAACACCAAGAACATCATGTTGTGTAGTATCCTTGATGCTGCCTCAGGATTCATCACTTACTACCTCTTTGGATTTGCCTTGGCCTTTGGTACGCCTTCCAACGGTTTTATTGGTGGCCACCGCAACTTCTTTGCCTTAAACTCGTTCCCTGAAGGCTCTGGCTTTGACTTTAGCTTCTTCCTCTTTCAATGGACTTATGCTATCACTGCCTCAGGAATCACAAGTGGCTCCATGGCCGAGCGCACTCAGTTCGTTGCTTATATTATATATTCTTCTTTTTTGACCGGCTTCGTCTATCCGGTAATCTCACATTGGTTTTGGTCGAGCGATGGATGGGCTAGTCCGAGTCGGACCGACAATAATCTTTTTTTAGGCTCTGGTGCGATTGACTTTTCCGGTTCGGGTGTGGTTCACATGGCCGGTGGGATAACCGGTCTTTGGGGATCATTAATTCTAGGACCAAGAATCGGCCGGTTTAACTACCGAGAAAACAGCTCCACAGAAATCCGTGGTCACAGTGTACCGCTTGTTGTCCTCGGTACACTCATGTTGTGGTTGGGATGGTACGGGTTCACTGCCGGTTATTTTTTAACCATTTTAAAAACTTACGGGGGATCTCCATATTATGGTCAATGGAGCGCCATAGGACGGACCACTGTCACAACGACCCTGTCTGGATCCACTGCGGCATTGACCACAATGTTCAGTAGGCGACTTCTAGTTGGTCATTGGAATGTGACACATGTGTGCACCGGTTTACTAAGCGGCCTCGTGGCTATATCATCGGGTTGTGCTGTTGTAGAGCCTTGGGCAGCCATTATATGTGGCTTTGTCGCATCGTGGGTTACGATCGGACTTGACTTGCTTGCCAAGAAATTCAAGTACGATGATCCGCTTCAAGCCGCTCAAGTGCACGGTGGTTGTGGTGCGTGGGGATTATTATTTACAGGACTTTTGGCAACAAAAAGTTACATGAGCGAAGTTTATGGCGGCGAAAGTGGAAGGCCGCATGGTTTGCTGATGGGTGGGGGAGTGAAACTACTTGGAGCACAGATAGGTCAGATAATTGCGATCATCGGTTGGGTGACGTTGACAATGGGGTCATTATTTTATGGGTTACATAAGATCAATCTTCTTAGAGTATCTGTGGAAGAAGAGATAGTTGGAATTGATATGACACGTCACGGTGGCTTTGCTTATGGGTCTCATTTAGAGGATGCAGACTGGGTCAAATCATGGAACCAAGGAGCTGAGATTGAGACAGCAGCTTGAGTACATACGGACGTGCGTACCATTACTATACGATCCTATGAAACTAACAAAATATCTCTCAAGTTACTTGGTACGGTTCCTAATGTGGGAAATGCTCGGATATCTGTTTTCTGCTATTTGGAAATCTTTTATATTGTAAAATTAAACCCAATTGTTGGAGAGATATGAATTTGATAATTTTAATTATATATTTTCTTAGTTTGGGAGACATGTTTATAAGTTTCGAGGGTAGGTAATAACAATCTTGTTAGTTTCTGTTTGACCAAAAAGAAATAAGCAAAACTAGTTAGTAATCTAGTACGTGGATTAATGTGGTATTTTTCATATATATGTTAGATAATCGATGGTTCCTTAAATTTAAAATCGAACGAGGTTGAAGTTCTATGGACTCGAATGTTTTATATTTTAATCAAAAATGTATTTGTACAGTCAAGAGATTCAAGTTTGTTTATGAAAACTTGTTCTCGTAAATTTGAACAATACGACTTTTAAAAAAAAAAGAAATTTCAATTAAAAAACGAATCGAGAAAATATAAAACGAGAACATTTGTGTATTAAAATACAAGTCGTATTAATCTTTAAGCTAGGGACTTAGGAGGAGTCATCGTGGTCACCTGACTTCCACAGAGAATGAAAAAAAAAATAGTTAGTGGGGTATACAATAATGTGAATGATCTCTTTTAACTTGGCATAGAAAGTTACATATTAATATATTATTTTACTAATCATTTATGAAAATGTGTTGTGTTGGGTTATGTCTTTTGATTTGTTCGTTTAGATAAATATACTTGCTCCTTTATCTCAAAAAATTTGACTAGTTCCTTTTTACAAGGACAACGATCATTTATGTTTAAAGGAAAGGTTTATTCATCATTTGTTTTAAGTACGTAGTGTACAACCAATGGATAAGTTTTCTTCCAACCAAAGTCGGAAACTTTCAAACTTCTCAAATTCTTATAGAATTAGTTTGTGTTGCATGTAAAAGAAATTTATTAAACATACCTAAAACATACTTATATATATTGGGAGTTTGGGACTATCGATAAGGTGAGCTCCACCCACATAAGCATTACTATGTTAGAGAGCAGCTTAAAACTTTTAATAAAAAATTATCTTAAAATGTTGGACTTGGACTAACCGTATTGGCTGTAGACCCAATCACAATGAGCCCATCATTAAGTCATAAATAAAACATTCTGAAATTCTTTTTTATAAAGACAAATTTCATGTATGTTTCATGCGATCGCAATGGATCTTATATATATGAAGAAATTTACATCGCAGTGAATCAAAGATATCAATCACAATCCGATTATACATCATATGAATCATAACACTCCAAACAAATCCAAACTAATAATGTAGTTTCCAGGTTTTTGCCAACAAACTACCCTGTACTAACATAAATTTCTAAAACCGCTACCAAAAAAGCTACACTACCAAAAGCAGTGAAAGCTTCAACCTCACTGAGACGATCCAACTTGAAACACGACGATGAGAAGATAGTGAAGCATTCTCTGAACCATTAAGATCATACTATACACTATATAATTGATGCTTCAGCTTCAGTTACCTCCTTATCCGAATGCCCGACTCTGTATTTAGCTTTCTTGGCCTTTCCAAAACAACAAAAATATCGATTACATACGTATAGGGATTCTAAAATCATAAGCAGAGAAGACAGTAGATTTCTGATTACCTCTTTATCCCAGTTTGTAACTAATGTGATGATGGAAAGAGACAGCACTTGAACAACTAAGGCTGATACGATTCCAAGCCAAAGGCCCTTAAATAAATACACAAGACAATGATATTTTAAAATGCAGCTCTATTCTTTTATCATTATGCTGTCACAGTAAGACAAATTTTGAGTTATTAGCTTACCCGACCACCAAAATGTAAATGGAAACCAAGTAATAACCCCAGTGGAACTCCAACTAGATAATATGAGCCGAGATTCACACAAGCTCCAATCTTCTGCCATCCACATCCTCTAGCAACCCCTACAATCAAAAACGTACAACCAGATTTGGTTTCAACATACCAGAAACAAATAGTTGTTACTCTCTCACAAATAGATTCCCTTTTTCTGATGGAAGAACCTGACAGAACGCATTGGAATCCGTCAAGGAAGTTGCCTGCAGCGACAATTGGTATCATCGATGCTACATATTTGATGACTTTTGGATCGCTGCTGAAGGCATATCCCAATTTATTCCGAATCGCCAACAAAACCGATCCAATCATAATACCCTCTACAACTACTGTGGCTACAACCACACGTACAGCCAGCTTTGCGCCTTTTGGATTCCCTGCTCCTAACTCGTTCGAGATCCTCGTGCTATGACCGAGAAAAAAACAGTGTTACTAACAGTACTGAGTTTTGTGAAATATGTCAGTTTATATGCTTGTTTTTCTGGTACCTTGCTGTGCCACCAAGGCCAACCGGGATCATCCAGACAGTTAATGATGTATTAAGGCTGTAAAAATTTCCAGAAATCAGTAAAAACAAGAACTCTGTAAACCAAAATGATGAATGTAATCCGTCTTACCAGATTGAAAGAGTTGAAGTTTCTAAAACCGGATTAGGTAGTAAGCCTGACAAGAGAACCAAAAGCTCAAACGACCAGAGCTCTAAGCTGTCCACCATAAGCATACCACACAAAAATCATGACACTATAAACAAGATTAAGTAACTAACTAACATGTACAAATTGGAATAAGAACAATGTACCAGACCATAACCGCAGAAGGAAAACCGAGCTTCATAAAAGCAGGGATGTGGCTAAGAGCCTCTTTAGAGAAACCAGTCCAAGTTTGTGAGCAAGAAGCTGAGAACTTGACATAACACGAGAGGAGAATGACATTGACCCAATAAGAGACAGAGATAGCAAGAGCAGCTCCCCTGTGTCCTAAACCAGACTTCCACACGAAGACCCAACAAAGAAGAACGTGAAGACAAGTAGTGATTCCAGAGGACACAAATACAGGGAACACATTGTTTTGCGTTTGCAAGAACCTGTTTAGGCATTGAAGAAGCGCGTAGGCGTAGATGCTAGGGATCATGTATCTAGCGTATGAGCCTGCAAGTCTCGCTATGGACTTGTCTTGGTGGACAAAGACGAGAATGTCCTCAGTGTAAAACCAAACCATCGAGAGAGGAATTGAAAGTATGAGCAGAACAAACATAGCTCTCTGCATGAAAATGCCTAGCTTCCCATACATCTTTGCTCCGTAAGATTGCCCACAAAGTGTCTCCAACGCACTCGCTGTACCCATCTGTTGGAAAAAAAATCGATTCAGCTACAAAATTTCGAATCAATGCAATTCCTCTACCACCAAATTGGCTCCAATGGATAAGTACTGAGAGAGGAGAGAGGTTACAAACCAGGAAAGTGAAACCGGTGACGGAGGCGAAAGAGGTGGCGATGGAGGCGGCGGAGAGAGGAAGTGATCCGAGATGGCCGACGAACATGACGGAGATGACTTGGAGAGAGTATTGGAGGAGGCTGACGCCGATGAGTGGAGCAGAGAGCCAAAACTGCTTCTTCACCTCTTCCTTGACACTATTTCCGATCATCACATGTTGTGCCGCCGGCGAAACTGTTGTAACCTTCTCCGCTTTTTCAGCTTCCACCTCCATATCTTTTGATTTTTCCTTGTCGTGTGGCACATCACATATGAATGAAGAAAATTAATAACAGAGAGGATTTACAAAATCTGCGACTTGCTAATAATAATTTTATCACTCTTGTTTTTTAGGTTAATGTTGAAATTTGTTTGTTATCAGTCGCTATTAATCCATCCACTAGACAAATCAAATTTATATGCATTGGTCAATACATTTTTTAGTTTAATAACTTAGCATGCGTTACACAGGAATGATTGTTTTTGTATAGGTTAACACGATATTATAAATGATTAAATTTATATGTCATGTTCATGAAGTATAATATTTCCAAAAATCAACTTTTATATTATTAAATTATTTGTTGTTGTCATCAATAAATAGTTTAATGATTTGTGATAATATACTATCTAGCTATGACATTGATATTGACCGTAAGATTTTAATTGTTGTAGAGTTTTCAATTTTAAATCAACTGGAAAGTGATAAGCTGATTATTTTAATTTGATTCTACAAGTATTAATGGTCACAATTTTGCCAACGATCTTAGTCAAGCAATATAATGCATGCGTATACTTATGTACAGTCGCTAATATTTTAACCATATGGTGGTGGTCCAGTGGTTCTCGTTTGGTTGGAAGGATCGCCCTGTTGGTCTAGGCCAGGGATCGATCCTCCTCAGACGCAGTTTCGCTCTCTCACTATTGTGGCTACCTGGGAATTTACATGCGGAGGCCCTTAAGTGGAGGCTTAAAAATTCATGTGACGTGGGCTTAGGCCCAGTGAACTAGTCAGATCACTGTGTTGTCTGGATACTGGGTTATAAAAAAAAAAAAATCCGAGTCAAGCAACACCAAACTTCTGACAAACACGTACAGGGTAAATGAAAATTTGCTTGCAAAAACTAATAAAGACATGTTCAGTAAGACAATATATACAAAGTACTTTTATAATATACACATAACTACTACACCTGATAGACGTAATTGATTCATATAAAACCAGGAACATCAATAGAAAATTATACATCATAGATTAAAATAACTCACGTCCTACCGAGTAAGTACCCTAGAAATAGTCAGATACTCACTACTCACACTCAAATTCAAGGACACAAAGAAAACCTGAAACCCACATGATTAACTAATTGAATTAGCATATATATAAAGAAAAAAAAAGAGATATATGTATATCTTAAAAACTCACCGGAGAGTTTTGAGTTGAAGTGGAGAAATCGATCACGTACGAGAGAAGAGGAGGAAGGTCAGCAAAAAAGGAAAAGTAAAATTAAGCATGGAGGCCGGAGAAAAAGGAACTAAATGGTGGGCTTTTATAAGTCACAGAAACTAAAAAGTTTTACAACTTTACGTAATTAAAGTTTAGTTTGTTCACTTGAAGATCCTCCTCCTCTTGTTTTTTCTCTTTTGTTTATTTTACATGGTCCATACTCCATATAGTCCATACCTCTCTCAAAGAATTTTCCGTATATATCTCTCTCAACGAAATTAAATATCTACACGAACATAGAACAAGGAATCATTTAGTTGATAGTATCAACTAGCATTTTATTTAGCTTTGTAATTTCGTTTTAGAATCTTAATATACGTTCATTTTGGGATATATTAAACGTTTTTATATAAAACTGAGTGAGTACTAAACTTCAATCTTAGAATATATATAACATTTTTGTATTAAAGTTGTTTTGTATTCAATCAATTATTTTTGAATTCAATCAATAAGTTTATAAATGATTTTTGGTGAAATTTGAGAAGTTGTGTCCCTAAAATTAAGTGTTATATACCCACCAAATGGGTGTAAATTCATAGAAAAACAAGAAGCCAAAAGGAGATGTAGAACTCTTACTTCATCCAGCAACTGTGCTGTTACGCTTTCGGAATCTGTATCACATCGTCTTAAGAGCTTACTTGTCATGTTTTCCGTCCGTGGAACAATAAGTTTCTTGATCTGCAAACAAGAAAATATATAAGGCCCAAAACATAACACATACCTGCTAGCTAAGAACTGAATTTAATGGATTTTATTCTATGAAAACATATAAAGACAAGAACGTATCACCCACCTGATCTATGAAAGATAGATAGACAGTTCAGGAGGCCCAATTTCAATATCTTTCAAATTCAACAGATAGGGAACAAAGAAAGGAAACCAACTTGAGTGAGATCGAATCAGAAGAAAGAAAGTAAAGATTCGATCACATTGAAACAAAAAATTAAAAAGCAGTTAAGAAAATTGACAATGCGTGAGTTTTTAAGTCTACCAAATACGGATCTGCAACGTGAGAGGAGATACGACGAGACAAAACCCACACAAGAATGGTTCTCCTCTTTCAAAAAAAAAAAAGAAATGACTGGTTCTTCTTTTCTGTTTTCTCAGATATTTTTAATAATGTAGAAGAGGCTATATATCCTTTTGTTACCACAAGGAACCGAAAATTAATAAAGGGCAGTGAAGGTAGTTGACCATTTAGTGACGAGAGAGCGACTGGAGAAGCAATAAAGCAGAATTCCAGTTTTATCCTTGTCCCCATCCACTTGTTACGTTTCTAGTTTGCCTTCCAAGTGAAGAGCTTCCCGCCATATACGGTTGCTTAGAGCAATTCCATTGATGATTTCTAAACATAAATCTCTTATTTTAGAGAAAAAAAATGTATTAATAAAAAAATGTGTAGGTTTCTTGAATAGTGAAGAAACTCTCTCCAAAGTATGTCAAAGTACCTAATATAAGAAATTTTAGAGAGAGTTTCTTCACTATTTAAGAAACCCACACAATTAAATAATTATATTTTTGTTGTCTTAATGTTAAGAGACTTAGTTAAAAAACCATTATTGGGGTTGCTCTTATACACAGATTGACTTATGACGTCATCATTCTTGATGAAAACTAGTTAGAAATTAACTCATGTTAATGTCTTGAAAACCTGGAGTGGGCCACAAGAAAACTTGTAAATGGCAATGGAAATATATATCGCTGATAGATGCATTTTCCGCGCTTATTTGTTCTGTAGATCAATGTTGTTTTTTCTGTAGTATAATGGTTTGTGTTCGGGTGCAGAAAATGCAACCATTAGCACATGAATCCCTCTTGTTTCAGAGTCCAAAATCATGACTCCCGAAGGTTTCGAAGCTTGCTGCTTCATGTAAACACAATCTTTGACTTTATTAACTAATTATCATAAGAGATTGATATTTAGAGACAAGTATAAGAACTGGGATAAATCATAATATATTACTCTATTTGAGTGTGTGTATCATCACTCTTTTAATGAGTTTAATGGTGTCCTATGTGGGAATATCTACTTTAAAATTTGTGTTCGTTCATAATGATCATATAATATGTCGACAAGAAACCTATAGTTGATCTGGACCGTCAAAACTAAAGAACTTCCATGGCAGTGGGAAGTTCTCACAGCAGATCTGGGCCGTCAATACTATAGTTTCATCATGTCAGAGTCAATAATCAACACGTGGCCGAACCATGATTTAAAACCAAAGCAACACACGATTAGACCCCACAATGTTTGTTCACCAACTCCCGTGGACCCCAATTTAGCTGACGTGTCGACATCAATAGTGGATTTTCTTCCTTTCAAAGTACACAAAAATTCATTCTTTCTCATTTTACTTTTGGATTTTGCTAATTCGAGTTGGCAAAAGATTGTTTAATTGTCTTTTCATCATCAACAACTGAAAAAAAAATGCAAAGAAATTTCGTTTTAAGGTATTTTATAAAATTTGTCACCTAAATTTCTAATAAACGACAGCCGTATAAAACGAAGGAAAAAAAGTATTTTCTAGAAGGATATTTCAACGATTATAAAGTTTAAAGCTTTTGACTAATTTGTCAATAATATACACAAATTAACACTCAATTATAGCTACCAAATGTACGCTATGGAGAAACACCAATTATTTCATCACACATACGCATGCGTTACGTTTCCAACTTTCTCTATATAAATATATATATGTATTTCACATAAACAGCAAAAGCGTGAAAGCAGATCAAGAAAGAGCATATAAAACAAAGAGAGAGAGAGAGAGAGAGAGATAGAGAAAGAATCATCAAAAATGGGAATAATGGAGGCAGAGAGGAAAACAACAGGCTGGGCTGCGAGAGATCCATCTGGGATCCTCTCTCCTTACACTTACACTCTTAGGTTCATTACTTTCTCTTCGTTTCGATCTTGGAGTTTCGTTTTTTTTTGTTCAGTTTCATCAATTTTTGGGTTTTTGAGTACAGAGAGACAGGACCAGAGGATGTGAACATAAGAATCATATGCTGTGGAATCTGCCACACCGATCTTCATCAAACCAAAAATGATCTTGGCATGTCTAACTACCCCATGGTTCCTGGGTAATCTCTTCTTTCTTCTTCTTCTGATGATGATAGAATAAACAATAGAATCTGAGATCGTGTGATGTTGATTTCAGGCATGAAGTGGTAGGGGAAGTGGTGGAGGTTGGATCAGATGTGAGCAAGTTCACCGTAGGTGACATAGTTGGAGTTGGTTGCCTCGTTGGATGTTGCGGAGGTTGTAGCCCTTGCGAGAGAGATCTGGAACAGTATTGTCCCAAGAAGATTTGGAGCTACAACGATGTTTACATCGATGGTCAACCTACACAAGGCGGCTTCGCTAAAGCCACCGTCGTTCACCAAAAGTAAAACTCTTTTTTTCTTTCTTTAACTTTGTGAACTTCTTAAATTAACTAATGTAGGTCAATTAGTTAATCTTGATCTTGTGCTCTATTTGATCAATGATTTTTAAAAAATTTAGTTGAAATTCAATCATTGTCTTGGTGTTGTTCAACTAACGATTTTGGCATATACTAACTACTAATAGAGAGTCGTAAGATTTTTGTTTTTCTTTATACTAAAATCAAGGAGATGCATATGAATGTGAATTTATTTTAATAAAAAATCAAGCTTCAAACCGGATCTTTAGGTTTTGGTTTCGGTATCTTGGGGAACAGGGTAGGGTATGTTTGGCTAAAGGGTCAGTTTCTTGTTTAGGTTTGTGGTGAAGATTCCAGAAGGAATGGCGGCTGAGCAGGCTGCGCCACTACTGTGCGCTGGTGTGACGGTGTATAGTCCACTGAGCCACTTCGGTCTGAAACAACCAGGCCTAAGAGGAGGCATACTAGGGTTAGGTGGAGTTGGTCACATGGGTGTGAAAATAGCCAAAGCAATGGGTCACCATGTGACTGTCATTAGCTCATCAAACAAGAAGAGAGAAGAGGCTCTGCAAGACCTTGGAGCTGATGATTACGTGATCGGATCCGACCAAGCAAAGATGAGCGAATTGGCTGATTCGTTGGATTACGTAATTGACACGGTTCCTGTTCATCACGCACTTGAGCCTTATTTGTCTCTGCTTAAGCTTGATGGTAAACTCATTCTCATGGGAGTTATTAACAATCCCTTGCAGTTTCTTACTCCTCTGCTTATGCTTGGTGAGTCACTTATAAAAAACTTAGCCCTTTCTTAATGATTGTGATTTTGAGGATTATTAGTTAATTGGGGATGATGATGAATTGATTAGGGAGGAAAGTGATAACGGGAAGCTTCATAGGGAGCATGAAGGAGACAGAGGAGATGCTTGAATTCTGTAAAGAAAAGGGTTTGAGTTCGATCATCGAAGTTGTGAAGATGGATTATGTTAACACTGCGTTTGAGAGACTCGAGAAGAACGATGTGCGTTATAGGTTCGTCGTTGATGTCGAAGGAAGCAATTTCGACGCTTGAATTCATGAAAACTCGAGGCTTTTTACGTACTCGATTTCGAGAATCTTCTGTTTGTTTGTGAGCTTTGTCAATGGTGTGTCACTATTTTTCATGAGAAAGTGGTAAAAGATACTACTATAATGATATTGGGCTAAAAATGAATGTGTTTTTTCGAGCGTTTTTAATCATGTATCATTTGATACATGTTTAACATAAATGCCTTGAGTCCTTATGTCGGGTTTGAGTCGTACCATGATATAAAACATTATTGTTCGGAGTTTTGGACTAAAACAGTGACTGAAAACGAAATCCAACCAAAAAATACGACTTGGCCCTTGGGTAATATTTTTTATTTGTTAATATTTTTAAGCGGTGTTTGAAGAAACTTGAGGCGAGTGTTTGGTCCTTGATAACAGCGTGATTTTATGTTTATCAAAGTGAGTGGTAGGTTAAAGAAGACTTATTTAGATGTCACCACAAGGACACCGCCCGGTGATTATAAATTTTTCATATATAAATGTAGATACATGACACATTTGGTGGTGCAAATTAGTCAAATGCGTAGTTGGTAGATAAAGAGTCTTGATGCTACGTCAGAACTTCTCTTGGACCAGACAAGAGAGCACGGCGTGAATATTTATATTTGAAGTCGATAATTCGTTACCCTATTGGGCTTTATGTATGATTCCCTCTTCTTTACAACAAGTGGTTTGATATTTCTAAAATTTCAGATTGAAAAAAAAATGAAGAGAACTTCAATATAGTCTAAAGAAAACCGTGGAATAAATCACTACATCTACCAGCTATATATGAGGAGTCAATAACTAAGATATAGAGTAATATGTTGGATCAGTGTCAAAATAAATATCTTATCTCAGGTTAAGAGAAAATGTTACAGATCATTCTCTAAGTACAATCTGACCATCATTCTTGACATATATGTGCAGAGTTCTTGGGATTCACTAGTAGGGGAGAGAACCATCACTATCACGATCCCGATAGCGATAGGGTAGAGATTTTTCAGAATAACATTAGAAACTACTTACCAGTCACATCTATGTCCTAAGTGAGTTTGCTTCTCTAAAGTTTTGACTTTGAAAACAACCGATTTATATGTCATGCTTTGCAATATCTAACCATGTTAACACTTAATACAAATAAGATTAAGACGCATATTCCGATTCCAGAAGGTTTAATGCAAAAAAACTGAAAATGTGTGTATTCTCCATTTTTTTTTTTACAACAGTGTCTACTCTTCTAATTATACTTCCCAAATGAATCTACTTCTCAAAAATAACTCAAATAAAATGCTCCAACAATTCCGGTATATTTATTCTATGTGTCTATCTATAGACTATAGCTCTAGTCAAATTATTAAGATCCATTGTCTACAATAAAAGATGACATTATTGGCTATCAGCCTCCGACCATAAAAACAAGGCATTGAATGGATGGGTATATCTTTAGAGTTTTTTTAGTTTATACTGTAGTTTTTTTTTTCTGAAAAATAAAAGGACAAACTTAAAGAAAACTAATTTTCAAAATATTTGATTGAATTATCATATGATAAAATTAATTTGAATGAATCTGTAGTTTGTTCGATTTATTCAGTTCTATTGCACAAATTTGGATTTGTTGAATTTTTTTATAAAAATTAATTTGATTCCGGATTCATGAATTTCGGTTCTATTGAAATATTTTACCCATTCTAAGTTATACCCAACACCCAAATAGTATATGATAGATGAGAGACTTTTACACTGGGGTAAGAATGAAGTGAAAAAAAAATCCAGAAAAAAACATTATGCCCAGAAAAAAACAAGAAAGCGAATGATAAAGTATAAAGAGTTGAGCGACATTAACCCGTGATCGTTACGTCTAGGACCAGTCAGATGAATATACTTTATAGATTGTATTTTTTTTACTTATGTCCAAAAACTCTTATCTTGTGTGTTTTAGAAATGGACTAGGTTTAATCCCCATCATATCCATAGGCCCCTTTTGTAATGCACATGTGAGGATTTTTAATGATCATACCATTCTAACTTTCTCCAGCGTTTACACAAATTTCATATTTTAAACCGTTGATGAATATTATTATACTTACACGACAAGAAATTGTACCTAATTATGTTGCGAATGAAGCAATGTATTAAGATAATATGTACGTTTATGCCTAACTATTATCTTAGTCGACAAACTATACCGTGAGATCCATCAATCTACCCTATATATAAGTTTATTCACAATTTACCAAACTGTTTTGTGTGACTATTTGGCCACTTCTCTCTTGGACAACACTGTCGTTATTTTTGCATCAATTATTCTCATTCTTATATGACTCACTTAAAACCAAATAATATGGACCACTGGAGCCTTGTTTCTGTTTTATATTCGTCCACAGGCTACACTGAAAGCGATGCGGTCATAGCCCTCCCCACTCGTCGCTTTCGTGTTTGTTCTCCAAATCTTTTTTTTTCCTTGATTATGCTTTGGCTTCTCTCACTTCTTACATATTTTTTTAAAAAATTTTAATTTCAGCTATAACTTTTTTTAATATAGCTAAATAATTTTCTTCGTTAGATTAAGGAATTCAAGAATTCCTTGAGCATATTTTTATCTTTTCAATTTTCAAAAGACTGATGCTCAGTTTGCCAAGTTGTAGTGTGTGAACATTTTACACAAAAATCAAACTCTGCAAGGTCCCAAAAAAATTATTATTGAAAAAGAAACAAATAAAGATGAGGATAACTGACATGTCAGTTTTGTGGTGTCTCCTGTTTTGTCTTTGATTAATGTGTGGTTCATTTCATACGAAACCCTCTGTTTTGGCAAACCTATAACGGATTTTCTCCTGTAATTTCTAAGATTAGAAAGTACTACATTGAAATATAATCACTCAATAACATATGTACTATTTAAATTTAATTCTTATTCGGTGATTATCCTTTAAACTTTCTATGGATCGAATTTTCCAGAAAATTTATGCTATGCAAATAATTTATACTCAACTTTATTAGCTTTTCTTCATGTAAACCAAAAATAACCCAAAAGCAAACGGTAATAATTATTCTGTCTCCCATGAATTGATTTTCTTTTTTTAATGAATGAAATTAATTTTAAATGCGAAAATATGGCTGCTGCTGCTCATTTACAGTTTTACACTAATGAATAAATGATCCAGAATCATTGATTCTACACCTTGTCCCATGTCAAGTCTAGTCAAAAGCTTCTTTCATCAACTCCGGCTCATTAAGATTCCCTCTCTCTCTCTCCTTCACCATCTCAGAGATTGCTCCACTATCTCATAGATTTGGTTACCAGAACAACTTATCACTTGAGTGGTTCAACCTCTATCTCTCTCTTTCTGCTATGAAAATGCATAGCCAAATTTAATACTTTAGAGAGGGATATACCAAGAACTGAAAAACCATGACTTCCAACAGAAGCAACCTCCTGTTCTCATTAGTCCTCTTCTACCTTCTTTTTGTCCCCACACAACTCCAAGCTCTTAACACTGATGGTGTTCTTCTGCTTACTTTCAAATACTCCATCCTCAGTGACCCTCTCTCTGTTCTAAGCAACTGGAACTATGATGATGCAACACCATGCTTGTGGACAGGTGTCACTTGTACAGAGCTTGGGAAGCCTAACACACCAGACATGTTCAGGGTCACAAGCTTGGTACTTCCCAACAAACACCTTTTGGGTTCCATCACTCCGGACTTGTTCTCGATTCCCCATCTAAGGATCTTGGATCTGTCTAGCAATTTCTTCAACGGGTCACTCCCGGACTCGGTGTTCAACGCCACTGAGCTTCAGGTTATCTCCCTTGGAAGCAACAATCTCTCTGGTGATTTGCCCAAAAGTATCAACAGTGTGACTAATCTCCAGCTCTTGAATCTCTCAGCCAACGCATTTACTGGAGAAATTCCACTCAACATCTCACTTCTGAAGAATCTAACGGTCGTTTCCTTGTCAAAGAACTCCTTTTCAGGTGATATTCCAAGTGGTTTCGAGGCAGTACAAGTTCTTGATCTTTCTTCAAATCTTCTCAACGGCTCTCTTCCCAAGGATTTGGGAGGAAAAAGCCTGCATTACTTGAACTTATCACACAACAAAGTCCTCGGCGAGATTTCTACAGGTTTTGCAGAGAAGTTTCCAGCAAACGCCACAGTCGACCTCTCCTATAACAACCTCACAGGCCCAATCCCAAGTTCCCTTTCTTTACTTAACCAAAAGGCTGAATCTTTTTCCGGTAACCAAGACTTGTGTGGGAAACCATTGAAGATCCTTTGTTCAGTTCCTTCTACTCTTTCAAACCCTCCAAATATCTCTGACACTACTTCACCGGCAATAGCAGTTAAACCAAGAAGCACAGCTCCAATAAACCCTTTGACAGAATCACCAAATCAGACAGCAAAAAGCAAGCTAAAGCCAAGCACCATTGCCGCAATCACAGTTGCAGATATAGTTGGTCTAGCTTTCATTGGTCTACTCGTGCTCTACGTATACCAGGTCAGGAAACGCAGAAGGTACCCAGAATCCAGCAGATTCAGCTTCTTCAAATTCTGTCTGGAGAAAAACGAAGCCAAGAAATCGAAACCAAGCGCCACGGAGGTCACAGTCCCAGAATCACCAGAGGCAAAAAGGGCATGCGGTTCGTGCATAATATTGACCGGAGGAAGGTACGACGAGACATCAACATCAGAGAGCGATGTAGAGAATCAGCAAACCGTTCAGGCATTCAGTCGAACAGATGGTGGGCAACTGAAGCAGAGCTCCCAAACTCAGCTAGTTACAGTCGACGGCGAGACTCGGCTAAATCTTGATACTCTACTAAAGGCATCTGCTTACATATTGGGAACTACCGGAACCGGAATCGTGTATAAGGCGGTGCTGGAGAACGGCACGGCATTCGCGGTGAGGCGGATCGAGACGGAGAGATGTGCGGCTGCGAAACCCAAGGAATTCGAGCGGGAGGTTCGTGCCATCGCTAAGCTTCGACACCCAAATCTCGTCAGAATCCGTGGGTTCTGTTGGGGAGACGACGAGAAACTTCTCATTTCCGATTATGTTCCCAATGGTAGCCTCCTCTGTTTCTTCACCGCCAGTAAGTTCCTCTGTTTCTTTAAGCGCACGATATAAAAGATACACTCTCTTATCTAAAATACGCCTGTAATTTGGTATACTTTAGCACTCTAAAATACACATCACTGGCTTTTAACTTTGGTTTTGTTCCTTCACAAACAGCAAAGGCAAGCTCAAGCTCGTCTTCTTCGTCGTCATTACAAAACCCTCTTAGTTTCGAGGCACGGCTCAAGATAGCAAGAGGAATGGCTAGAGGACTATCTTACATCAATGACAAGAAACACGTGCACGGTAACATCAAGCCCAATAACATTCTCCTGAACGCTGAGAATGAGCCCATCATAACCGATCTAGGGCTAGACCGCCTCATGACACAAGCGCGTGAGTCTCGCACCACTGGACCAACTTCGAGCTCACCGTACCAGCCACCGGAATGGTCCACAAGCCTGAAACCAAACCCTAAATGGGACGTTTATTCCTTTGGAGTCATACTTTTAGAACTTCTCACAAGCAAAGTGTTCTCGGTAGATCATGATATAGATCAGTTCTCAAACTTAACCGGTTCTGAAGCAGAAGAGAATGGCCGGTTCTTGAGGTTGATCGACGGTGCAATTAGGAGCGATGTGGCTCGCAATGAGGATGCTGCAATGGCGTGCTTTAGGTTAGGGATTGAATGTGTCTCTTCCTTGCCTCAGAAGCGACCGTCCATGAAAGAATTGGTGCAAGTGTTGGAGAAAATGTGTGTTTTAGTTTGATTTCTTAATTCGTAGCCCAAATTCGTTTTGGCAATATAGAAAGTGGATTTGTTATGTATGTTTTAGATGTGTTGCATAAGCCGTGTAATAAAAATATAAAAAAAATACTAATTCCTACTTTTGTTTTGTTATATCACAAACCAAAATAAATCGAAATTATAATCTTAACCGATTAAGCCAAATAAACCAACATAACAGAAAACACCTAATTTAACTCGGTCCAACTTCCAAACCAAACTTCAGAACAAACCGACCCAAACCGAACCAAGTTTCTAATGTCCACGCCTCAACATCATCTTCTCCGATCAACTCTTCTGCTCACCACACCAAACTTTCTTTTCAGACCAGACATTTCTATGGTCTGATCACACTACAGTGTATTAAAGAAGAGATTCTGATACCAAAAGAGATTTCAACAAATGGAAGGAGAATCTATAACTCCCGGTCCCGGCGAAGATAAACTGGAGATCCAATCTCCAATTCCGCCAAATCAGATCTTCATTCTCTCCGGGCAAAGCAATATGGCCGGACGCGGCGGCGTCGTCAAAGATCACCACCACAATCGCTGGGTATGGGATAAAATCGTTCCACCGGAATGCGCACCAAACTCATCGATCCTCCGCCTGAGCGCAGATCTCCGGTGGGAAGAAGCTCACGAGCCACTCCACGTTGACATCGACACCGGTAAAGTGTGTGGAATAGGTCCAGGAATGCCGTTCGCAAACGCGGTGAAGAATCGCCTGAAAACAGATTCGGCTGTGATCGGGTTGGTTCCGTGCGCCGCTGGTGGAACGGCGATAAAACAGTGGGAGCGTGGAACCCACTTGTATGAGAGGATGGTTAAGAGAACGGAGGAGAGTAGGAAATGCGGCGGGGAGATTAAGGCGGTGTTGTGGTATCAAGGAGAGAGTGACGTGTTGGACATCCATGACGCCGAGAGCTACGGGAGCAATATGGACCGTTTGATTAAGAACCTCCGTCATGATCTCAACCTTCCTTCTCTTCCCATTATTCAGGTCTCTCTCTCCTTTTCCATTAATGAAGTCGAAAGACTTTATCTAACTAACGTTGATTTTGTTCTAGTTTCTGTCAAGAAGTTGGATTTGATCATTGTCTCTGTCTCTTGTTTAACAAGAAGCTTGTGATTTTCAGCTCCTAGGCAGTCTTTCTTTGTGCGATTTTAGCTTCCAACTTCACATCTACATAGGTAGTGGTATTGGTGAAAGAGTTAAGTTGCAGATTATGTAATTGTTACATAGGTTGAAAAAGCTAAGACTAAGAAATGCAAAATGTGTGCCCTTTTAGGCTTTTACAATGTAAATAACTATTGCTGAAAGTGATGTTGTCTTTTAGAAATCGGTAGTTCAAATTTCCATTGGTTAATCTTTGTGGTTTGAATGAAGCAGGTGGCAATAGCATCGGGAGGAGGATACATAGATAAGGTGAGAGAAGCACAGTTGGGTCTGAAACTTTCGAATGTGGTTTGTGTAGACGCTAAGGGATTGCCGCTAAAGTCTGACAATCTTCACTTAACCACTGAGGCTCAAGTCCAGCTTGGTCTCTCCTTAGCACAAGCTTACCTTTCCAACTTCTGTTAGACAATCAAGTAAGTTTGTGTTAAGCTTCATGAGTCTTTCTGTATGTATATGGATATCACAAAACTGCTTTAATAATGGAATGATAAATATTATTGTTCAAAGTGAAGAACAATTAGTTTGCTCTAGAGACTGGTGGATTCTGAAATCAATCTGAAATATTGTTAGCAGCTATGTGTGTAGTCCTTCGTTCATTATACTTCTAGGATCAATGAAATTGCGAATGTTGATGTAATGCACTCCATTCTACATAAGTATACTATAGACTAGAAGTAGATTAAAACTATAGAGAAGCTTAATGTTGTATTTGTGATTGATAATTGTTTTTTGTTTGTTTGTCAAGTTATCCAGGTTGAAGATCGGGTACTTGGTGAGAAATTGCTCTATTTTCCCGTGTTCTTGTTTGTTTACATCTCCCAAATGGTGATATGTGTGGTCTAAGTGATGGTACTGGTTTTATCTAAATTTGTTATCTATATAGAGCACACATAATATCTTCTAGTTTGTCACATTATTATCTATCTACATTAACATTAAAACTACTAATAGACAAGGCAGAGTAATTTCATGCGGATTAGTCAATTCTATTTTCACGATACACAATAGTCTAATGCAGCTTACAATATCATCTTTTCATAAAAATGAATGACATGAACACGTTTTTTCTCATGCTATACCATTCCCTTCTTACAATCCAAATTTGTGAAAATAACTAAAATCGGCCTTCACTACACAGATTTTTGAAAACATATATATAGAATACTTATTAAAAATATAAAACGATCATCTGATTGTTTTTTCTTGTGATCATCCTTAATTTCATTCAACAAAGGCTAGCTAATACACTAAATATGTTATTATACGAAAATTCAACAGTACATTATCAACGCGCGGCTGCGTTGAATACTATATGGGGGTTGTCGACAGGTCGACCTACCAAAAACAATGCATCTCTAAGCAGTTGCAAAGACGCACTTAAAGCAAATCTTTCACGTGCAATAAATTATACTTACGTCACAGCCATCAGTATATCCTTTGAAATATTCCTCCTCACAAGTAAGACCTAATACTGTAAAATTTGACCACCAACAAAATAATTTTGTTTTTTGTTTTTTTGGGTTTTTGTATCTACATGTGTGTAACTTGACACAAACAGACCACTTGCCCTGAAAACTAAAAAAGGTCCAATTCAATTCAGATTTGAAGTCTTCAAATACTAAAAAGTGCGGCTCTCCCTCTAGTGTCTGGCCTCGTTTACTAGTGCGGGGACCTTTTAATCTTTTATTACTACTTGCGTTCAAGCATGAAGCATGGAGAGACACTCGCTTAATCATGTAATACCAAAATTCCTGCTTCATTTTGAAATTCCATCGTAAAATTATGATTTGGATCTAGAGATACCAACTCCTCTAGATCTAAGAACTTATTAAGTCTCAAATTATTGTCGACTAGTTTCTTTGGTCTAAAACTTATAAACGCATACTACTACATTTTAAGACGGGTTTTGATTCAACGATAATATATATATACATATTTTATTTTTGTCAAGAATTCAACCTGAAATTGTTTATAATTATTAAAAATGACATCAATATAATTTAGTAGCAGAAAACCATCCCTAAAATATTATTACAACTTTTTTTTGTCTTTTTTTTTTTTTTTCATTTCTTTGGGACGTAAATGTTAAAATCTTTATTAGATACTCAAGTTCAAACTAGCGGCAATGATCTGTCAGACATCGTGATCGTGAGACCCCACACCCACATCGAAATAAGGCTTCTCCAAGATCTATTTTGCATTGGGGAAAATTCCCAAAAAAAACCTCGTGTAATTTTTATTTGAACGTTTAATACCCAATTGTTTTCGGTTGGAAGAAAAATACACATATTAATAAAACTGTGCGATTTAATACCCAAACAATCAAATGTTGTTATTTTCATACTTACGAACTCACAACAAAAAATATATTCCAATTTTACCCTTATCATCTCAATTAATTATTAACTTTTAAATAAGGTGATATTTTTTTTCTTTAAATAAAAATTAATTTTGTTAATGCTTTATTTTATGATGCCTAAAAAATAAATTTTAAATTTATATAATTATTTTATTTTAAAATTAAACATAAAAATTAGCAGAAAATCAAAAATATTAAAAATAGTCATTTGTACAATCTTATTCCGTCTTTGCAATGTCAAAGAGACGTTTTCTCTTCGGTTCTAATTTTTTCGATTAATATCTACGAGAATTACCGGTAAACAATCTCCGTCGATCTTTTGCAACCATCAAATTCGATAACCATTCGCAATCTCCTTTTAATCCTATCCAAAATCTTCATCGCCAATAAAACTAATTTGATTTGATTCGTCGTGATGCATATGATATCAACGAGCATCAATATGAACTTTTTTTTCGTCGTGAGAAACTCTCTATTCGAATATAAATCCTTCACGAATGAAACTATTTTCGACAAAATCTCAATCCGAATCTCATCGTCTCTCTCAAGATTTATCAATTCATAAAAATGGCTAATTTTTTTTTTATTTACTTTTTCTAAATTTTTTGCTAATTAATTTTATTTTTAATTTTTAAAATTAAATATTTGTAAAATAAACTGCAAATTATTTTGAATTTTTTTTTGAATTTTTTTTTGGGATAACAAAGAAATGAAATATTTATAAAATTAATTTTTATGTAAATAAAAAACTATTGTGACGTAATCTAAAAGTTAATAATTAATTGAAATAGTAAGGGTAAAATTGGAATTTTATTTTTGTTGTGAGATCGTCAGTATGAAAATAACAACATTTAATTGTTTGGATATTAAATCGCACAATTTTATTAATATGTGTATTTTTCTTCCAACCGAAAACAATTGGGTATTAAACGTCCAAATAAAAAATAATTGAGGTTTTTTTTGGGAATTTTCCCTTTTGCATTGGCAAAATCTTCGAAGCTGTAAATATTTTTTGGTAGATTGATCAGATTTTGTTCTTGGTCAAGAGATATGTGTAATAAATAAATAAAGTTGACTATTCCTCAAAGCTCCCCAAATTTGTTTTTTTTTTCTCTTTTTCGTTTTGGCTATTTTTCCGGTAAATGATGCAATTCTATTCGCCGAACATTTTGCAAATCACGAAACCAAAATGAATCACACGCGCGAGGCAAAGGAGCGTGTTATTCCATCACCTTCGTCAAATACTATCACATCACACCAAACCCCTGAGCCGACTATAAATAAACCTTTTAGATCTCTCTCTCCCTCGTGCTGTATTACTCCGCCACCAACAACAATTTTCTCTACTCATTCACTCACACATTCACTACTCCATAAGCGGTAGCAATGTCAGCCACCGCCGCCGCCGCTTCCTCGATCTCTGTCGCCACCAATTCTCTCAAAAACGTCACTCTCTCTTCCAGATCGCCTCTTCCATCAGCCATCTCCGTCGCTTTCCCTTCTCGCGGACGCAATACTCTTCAGCGACGGCTCGTTCTCGTTTCGTGCACTGCGGGAGATGGATCTAAGCCTACGATTCTCGTGGCGGAGAAGCTCGGTGAGGCTGGTGTAAAGCTCTTGGAGGATTTTGCGAATGTCGACTGTTCGTATAACATGACTCCTGAGGAGCTCAATACCAAGATCTCGCTATGTGATGCGTTGATCGTGAGGAGTGGGACTAAGGTTGGCCGTGAGGTGTTTGAATCGTCTCGTGGACGGCTTAAGGTTGTTGGACGCGCTGGTGTTGGGATCGACAACGTGGATCTGAGTGCAGCGACGGAGTTTGGGTGTTTGGTTGTCAACGCTCCGACGGCGAACACGATCGCTGCAGCTGAGCACGGAATCGCTCTTATGGCGGCCATGGCTAGGAACGTAGCTCAAGCTGATGCGTCTGTTAAGGCTGGTTAGTAACTTTTTGATTCATCGCCTCAATTTCATACTTTCCATACTTTGCGAAATATTTATTGATTTTGTTCTTTCGATACCTGTGATTGATGGCATGTTGAGTTTACATATTTATATCATGAGCTTTCCTTTTCCTGCACTGTTGTTGACGATTGTGAAATTTAGGATTGTGACATTTGCTGATTCTTTTGAAATTGAGTTTTGATGATTCATGTGCGTGGAGTGACTGTAATCTAGCTGACTTGTGGATATCTTTTTCTCAAGGATCTTGGTTTTAATAATCTCTCTGTGATGCAGGAGAGTGGAAGAGGAACAAGTATGTGGGTGTTTCACTTGTGGGCAAGACCCTTGCAGTGTTGGGATTCGGGAAAGTTGGGACGGAAGTTGCTAGACGTGCCAAGGGTCTTGGTATGCGTGTCATTGCTCATGATCCCTATGCCCCAGCAGACCGTGCACACGCCATTGGTGTTGACTTAGTGAGCTTTGATGAAGCCCTTGCGACCGCGGATTTCATTTCTCTGCACATGCCTCTTACGCCAACAACATCGAAGATACTCAACGACGAAACCTTTGCCAAAATGAAGAAAGGAGTTCGCATTGTCAATGTTGCTCGTGGAGGTGTCATAGACGAAGATGCGTTAGTGAGAGCTCTGGATTCTGGTATTGTTGCTCAGGCTGCACTTGATGTCTTCACCAAAGAGCCACCGGCTAAAGATAGCAAGCTCGTGCAGCACGAGAGGGTTACTGTGACACCTCATCTTGGAGCCAGTACCATGGAGGCTCAGGTGTGCAATTCATGTTACAGTTCAGGTGATATTTAATCATGAATTTTCTGTTTGGCTTCTGTTATTTAGTTGGTGTTTTGGCTTTGACAGGAAGGAGTTGCCATCGAAATTGCTGAAGCTGTTGTTGGAGCTCTGAATGGAGAGCTTGCTGCTACTGCAGTCAATGCACCTATGGTTTCTGCTGAGGTGAGCACTGGCTTATGTCTAGTAAAATGTTTCAAAGAGGCAAACTTATCAGCCTCTTTCCTATACTGTAGCTAGCCTAGGATTGAATGTAGCAAATTACATCTGTTCTGAGTAGGTTAGAGAGAAGTTAGTAAACGGCAAAATTGTTGAAGTGCGGGTGGGTTGTCTTGCTTTAAGAGCCTCATTAATCAAGCTTCTCCTATGTGTTCTTAACAGATTCCAGCTGGAAGGTTTCAATTGTTCGACTCTCATTTTTGTTATTTTCTCATGCTTACATCACACTCTATCCGCAGGTTCTGACCGAGCTGAAACCATATGTGGTACTAGCCGAGAAACTTGGAAGACTGGCAGTGCAATTGGTGGCCGGAGGAAGCGGTGTGAAAAACGTGAAAATCACATACGCCTCAGCAAGAGCCACTGATGATCTTGACACCAGACTTCTACGAGCCATGATCACCAAGGGAATCATCGAGCCAATCTCTGACGTCTATGTCAATTTGGTCAACGCTGATTTCACAGCCAAGCAGAGAGGTCTCAGACTCTCAGAGGAACGTGTGCTCTTGGATGGTTCACCAGAGAGCCCGTTGGAGACAATAACTGTTCAGCTAAGCAATGTGGAGTCCAAATTTGCCAGTTCGTTGTCTGAATCAGGAGAGGTCAAAGTGGAAGGAAGGGTTAAAGACGGAGTCCCGCATTTGACAAAGGTTGGATCTTTTGAGGTCGATGTAACTCTTGAAGGTAGTATCATACTGTGCAGGCAGGTGGATCAACCTGGTATGATCGGGACAGTTGGAAGCATCCTTGGAGAGTCTAACGTGAATGTTAACTTCATGAGCGTTGGGAGGATTGCACCGAGGAAGCAAGCGATTATGGCCATCGGAGTAGATGACATACCAAGCAAAGATACACTGAAGAAGATTGGGGAAATTCCAGCGATTGAGGAGTTTGTTTTCCTCAAGCTCTAGTTTGGTGTGTTGTTGATTCTTGAATCTTAAATCTCACCGGTGAAGATTTGATGTTGTTTGTTGGTTTAGGCAATAATGTTATTTTGGCTTTCTACAGTTTTGGTAACGTTGAGAGTAGTGGTCTCTTTGATGTTTCAACTTTATGGTTTTGAATTTTGATTATTCGAGTGCTTAGTTTTCTTGAATAATTGTTTTCCGCTGCTGTTTCAATCAAACATCGAAGACAAGTTCGTCGAACTTGAAAATTAAGAGGTGGGATCTTCGAGAATTTACGAAAATAGTAACTGAGGGGAGAAATTGTTTCTTACCCGAATAATGGCGCCAATAGCATCTGTAAAATAAGCGAATCAATTTTTAAATTGGTTAAGTTTGGTTCAGATTTGGTTCGGTTTTGCTCTAAGAGATGCATTAGTCTGTGAAACGCCGCCGTTTGTCAAAACTCTGTATCTCGAAAAGGTGAAACAAGATACGAACTTAATGAGTGGAGAGAAAACACGTGTCCTCAGCTTGAACAGATAATTTTGCGACTCTTGAGAAAGGAAGACGAAGGATTTAGTAGAAGAAGAAGAAAGAGAGAGAGTCTTGTGATATCGAAGGAAGATGGCCTTATCTCAAGTCTCTGCGTCTCTCGCCTTTTCTCTTCCCAGTACCCTCTCTTTCTCGCTTTGCTACCTTCTTCTTCCTCTAGTTGTACTTTTTCTCTATAATGTATCTGACTAGTTTCGGATTTTATCTTGCCAGATTCTGGTATCACAAACCCAAGTTCTGCTTGTCGGGTTCATATTCCGCAACTTGCTGGAATCCGATCCACTTTCGCTTCTGGTTCTCCTCTCTGTACGTCTTCCTTGGCCCTGACCAATTCTCCAATTCTCTAAATTTAAGCTTTAGGTTGAAAATTGGGTTTCTGGGTATCCTTAGCAGCTCAATTTCTGATTCGTTTTACAGACTTAATCGTTCACATATGGTTTGGTTCTCTGAATTCTATTTATCATAAAGTTATCTAATTTTTGTGAAGTTGCTTTGTGCATTGCCTTGGTTAGCTGAGTGAATCCGGGAAAAAGAAAAGAAACTTTATTTCTTTCATTTTGATTTTCTATGTTGTCTGTGTCCGTCTCAGTGCCATTGAAGTTGAGTATGACTCGTAGAGGAGGAAGAAACAGAGCAGCATCAGTTTCTATCAGAAGTGAGCAAAGTACAGAAGGAAGCAGTGGTTTGGACATATGGCTTGGTCGTGGCGCCATGGTTGGTTTTGCAGTTGCCATTACTGTTGAGATTTCAACTGGAAAAGGACTTCTTGAGGTAATCAAACATCATAACTGATAAGTTTGCTTCTGAAAATAATGAAACTTTGAGAGAAAAGTAAGAAAATCATAATAACTTAAGATTTGATTTTGTCTTATTTCAGAATTTTGGAGTAGCAAGTCCATTGCCTACGGTTGCTTTAGCTGTTACAGCATTGGTTGGTGTTCTAGCTGCGGTTTTCATCTTCCAATCTTCTTCTAAAAACTGATCTAAAAGAATCTTCTTGTATTAAGAATCTTGTTTGTGATGCTGCTGCGGAGCATTTTCTTGTATTAAGAATCTTGTATCATATATCACTGTAACTTCTACATCCATCAGTGGAGGAATCTTACATTCTTAGTTTTTTGGCTATATGTTATGTATGATACATGATCTTGAACTTAGGATACACGAAAATATATTGAACTTATATAGCCTCTAATATATATATAAAAACAAATCTTAAGAATGGGAAGTTAAATTCGGTTTGTTTTCGACATAATAAAATTTAACACTTAAATATGTTTTTTTTTCCGTCAAAACATTAGATTTTATTGCATTAATCGATGTGAAAAGAATACAACTGATGGTGTAGCCATGGAGGGACACTTAAATATGTTTAAAATGAAAACATTTTATTGAAATTAAACCTTTAAGTTAAATCAAATAACTTACTTAAAATAATGTGAAAAGTTTAAAATTAAATCTTATACTTTTTTGCGTCTTATTCTTAAATTTTAGAGGTTTTTAACCTTTTTCAAATCTATTTTTGTTTTTAATAATTGTTAAGTGTTAATTTTTTTAATTTTATGTAAACTAAGGGGGTGTTATTGGTTTGTGATTTAAATAGAGTATTGGTGACTTTAAATGTTATGCAGAATCTGTTGTTATTCAATCAAGATTTTTAAAAAGTTTGTTAAAGTTTGGCGTTATTAGTTTAAGATTTGTAAAAAGTAATCTAAAATCTTCATAAATCTGGAGTTATTGGATTCATACTTTTATAAAGTCATTAAAAGTTTTGTGTTATTCAATTACAACAAAAGAATCTATGATTGTTAATGAATTAAATTATTATGTTATTAGATTATGACTTTCTACACTTTTCTTCACAAAACAAAGTCATGAAAAGTATCATCAAAATAGAGAGATTGTCTGGAAAAATCTACAAGATTATGACATAGTAATCAACAAGATAATAGAAAACTCTCAAAAACTCTCTAACAATAGTTTAGAATCTTTCATTTGTTTACTTTCTATGATTTTATTAAAGTCATCAAAATTCCATGTAAATTAAGAACCAATAACACCCCCTAGTTGTCACCTAATTTTTAAAATGTAAGTTTAATCAAAATTAAAAACATTTTTTGGGTAAGTGTTAAATTTATATTATGTGTAAACATGGTGAACCTAGAACACCTCTTAAAGACCAAATACTATTGACGGGATGTTGTGTCCGGTTTGCTTTCACAAATTTAAAATTTAACACTCAAAAAAATTAAAACAAAAATAACATGTATACTTAAACTAAAATAGTTTATGTAAAATATTGTTTGAAAAATAAAAAACTATCAATTTTAAATAATGATATATAAATATAAATTAAAAACATTTTTAAAAAAAGAAATAAGTGTTAAAAATTTAAATTATGTACCTAAAAAAATGAAAGAGTTTATCCAAAATATTATTTCAAAAATAAAAAAAAAACTTCAAATAAAAAAAAGAAGACTCACAAAAATGCCCATTTTTCAATACCCCTTTTCAAAAATGCCCCATTTGGATGTCCATTTTTAAAAATACCCCTTTTTATGTACAAAATGACTAAATTACCTTTCTTTTAATAAAAGATATCATAAATATATAAAGATTATAACAAAATTAGGTCCACAAAATACAAAATATTTTTTTGCGGGAAAAGTGATCCCCCAATTTTTCCCGCCAAAACACTTGTAAAAATTTGTAAAACCTTTAAATACCTTGTAAAATTTTCCCGTAAAATTTTTTCCCGCCAAAAAATTTTCCCGCCAAAAAATTTTTTTGCGGGAAAAGTGATTCCGCAAATTTTTTGGCGTTAAATTTTTGGCGGGAAAATTTTTGGCGGGAAAAATTTACAAGATATTTTAAAGGGTTTTTACAGGGTATTTATAAGGTTTTACAATGTATTTTAAAAGGTTTTACAACGTATTTATAAAGTATTTATAAGATATTATAAGATTTTACAAGCTATTTTATAAGGTTTTACAAGTTATAAGGTTTTACAAGTTTTTTATAAGGTTTTACAAGTTATAAATACCTTATAAAACCTTATAAGTACCTTGTAAAACCTTTTAAAATACATTAAAAACCTTACAAAACACTTGTAAATACTCCGTAAAACCTTTAAAATACCTTGTAAATTTTTCCCACCAAAAATTTTCCCGCCAAAAAAATTTCGGAATCACTTTTCCCGCAAAAAAATTTTTTGGCGGGAAAAATTATTACGGGAAAATTTTACAAGGTATTTTAAAGGTTTTTACAAGTGTTTTGGCAGGAAAATTGCGGGATCACTTTTCCTGCCAAAAAATATTTTGTATTTTGTGGACCTAATTTTATTTCAAATAAAGGTAAAATGGTCATTAAAAATTAAAAGAGGGCAAACTTAAAAATAGATTCTCAAAAAGGGCATTTTTGAAAAGGGGCATTTTTAACAATTTCTCATATAAAAAATGATATAAAATGTAAGTTTAAAAACATTTTTTAACAAAAAAAAAAAAACAAGTGTTAAATTTTTTAATTATGTGTAAACCATATTGAACCTATAACACCTCTTAGGGGTTTGGATGTTGTGTCCAATTAGTTTACACAAAATTTAAAAATTTAACACTTATCCAAAAAAAAAACCTTATAGTTTTAGTAATATAAAATATAAGCCTAAAAACATTTTTAATAAAAGAAAAACAAGTGTTAAAAATTTAAATTATGTGTAATCCATATTGAACCTAGAACACCTCTTAGGGGTTTGGATGTTGTATCTAATAAGTTTACACAAAATTTTAAAATTTAACACTTATCCAAAAAGACCTTATAGTTTTGATAGTGATATAAAAATATAAGTTTGAAAACATTTTTTAATAAAAGAAAAACAAGTGTTAAAAAGTTAAATTATGTGTAAACCATATTGAACCTAGAACACCTCTTAGGGGTTTGGATGTTGTGTCCAATTATTTTACACTAATTTTAAAATTTAACACTTATCTAAAAAAACTTGAAGTTTATATAGTAATATAAAAATATAAATTTGGAAACATTTTTTAATAAAATAAAAACAAGTGTTAAAATTTTAAATTATGTGTAAACCATATTGAACCTAGAACACCTCTTAGGGGTTTGGATGTTGTGTCCAATTATTTTGCACTAAATTTAAAAATTTAACACTTATCCAAAAAAACCTTGAAGTTTAAATAGTTTTTAATAAAATAAAAACAAGTGTTAAAGTTTTAAATTAGGTGTAAACCATATTGAACCTAGAACACCTCTTAGGGGTTTGGATGTTGTGTCCAATTAGTTTGCACTAAATTTAAAAATTTAACACTTATCTAAAAAAAATTATAGTTGTAATAATAATATAAAAATATAGGTTTAAAAACATTTTTTAATAAAATAAAAACAAGTGTTAAAAATTTAAATTAGGTGTAAACCATATTGAACCTAGAACACCTCTTAGGGGTTTGGATGTTGTGTCCAATTAGTTTGCACTAAATTTAAAAATTTAACACTTATCTAAAAAAAATTATAGTTGTAATAATAATATAAAAATATAGGTTTAAAAACATTTTTTAATAAAATAAAAACAAGTGTTAAAAATTTAAATTATGTGTAAACCATATTGAACCTAGAACACCTCTTAGGGGTTTGGATGTTTTGTCCAATTAGCTTACACTAAATTTAAAAATTTAACACTTATCTAAAAATAATTATAGTTGTAATAATAATATAAAAATATAGGTTTAAAAACATTTTTTAATAAAATAAAAACAAGTGTTAAAAATTTAAATTAGGTGTAAACCATATTGAACCTAGAACACCTCTTAGGGGTTTGGATGTTGTGTCCAATTAGTTTGCACTAAATTTAAAAATTTAACACTTATCTAAAAAAAATTATAGTTGTAATAATAATATAAAAATATAGGTTTAAAAACATTTTTTAATAAAATAAAAACAAGTGTTAAAAATTTAAATTAGGTGTAAACCATATTGAACCTAGAACACCTCTTAGGGGTTTGGATGTTGTGTCCATTTAGCTTACACTAAATTTAAAAATTTAACACTTATCTAAAAAATAAAAAAAAAGGAAATTAAGAAAGAAATACCTTTGCTTGTGAATAACGAAACACAAGATTTTCAGGTGATGTCGTCGGACGGTCGGAACCATGGAAACAGAACCAAACACAGATCATGATTTGGTTCTCTACTCGCTCGTCGCTCACTGTCCCAGTCTTCTTGATATCCTCTTTCCCGCTTTCGCATCCTTCGTCGTCGTCGTGTTCTCTTTCGCCGTCCTCATCAGAATCCACCGTCGAGATCTTTGATTGTGTGAAATTATGGGAGACTTGACATGAAACCGATATGGATTGAATTAAGATGTATTCACAACAGAGGATGGAGATGATACACGAAAAGAGATGGTTTCTCTGCTCCGATCAATCTTACGGATGAAGTTAATTGCAGAGATCATCGGTCATCATCAGCAAGTCTCTCTGTATGATATTGGCAGAGCTAATGAAGAGAACTACATAAAGAAAAAGATGATTATTGTTATTTCTGGTTTAGGGTTTCGAAGAAGAAGAGAGAATGCAGATTTCTCAAGGAATAAGAGAGAATGCAGATTTCTCAAGGAATAAGAGAGAATGGATGTATTTATAAGTAACGTTTGTTCAATGAAAAAAGAAAATTTTCTATTGTTTCCTTTTTCTTATTTGAGTTGCAAAAACAAAAAGGAAATTTTCTATTGTTTCCTTTTTCTTATTTGAGTTGCAAAAAAACAAAAAGGAAATTTATCACAACGGCAATAAAAGATTCACCTAATCTCGTATGTCTTTTAGAATCATTAATATTATATACAACAAAAAATATTAAAGATAATTATCGTCAAACACTAAACTTGTGTTTATATATGACACTAAATATGGATTATAAAATACAACATCAATACTAAACGATCTTGATAATGAATATCCATTATAAATTCCACCATAACTTGGTATGGATTAAGGCTTTGTACTAAACATTTCAACAAAACCACACTCTAATCTCTTTTGGTCAAAAATCACTCCTAAAAACATCATAATTTGTGACTGTCAAAAACTGCAGATCTTTGACGCAAAATGAAACAAACAATGAAAGAAAAACAGGGAAGAAAAGTGAAAATACTATGAGAAATATTGTGTTCTTTCAAAGCTGAGGATTGCGTTTCATTGAACCTCTATTCATTTCTTCTCTACTTGAAGCAGAAGGATTTAAGCCATACTCACTTGTTCCACCATATTCACTGCTTTGATATTCTTTACTCTCTAACGCCAATTTCTTGAATTTTTTCTTTATTCTCTAACGCCAATTTCTTGAATTTTTTCATGTCTGCACTGTAAGAGCTTGCATCATACTCCGAGCTCACGCTTCCGGGGCTCAAATAGGTGCTTTGTCCCGGTCTTGTTCCTTCACTTAGATCCTCCATTGACATATCTCCTTCTAGTGCTCGTACAATCTTTCATTTATCATACACATGTTTCAAGATTCATTAGTATGTCACATTTATCATCAAGATTAATTGTGAGTAAATATATATAACAAAAGAATCAAGAAGTGGTATGAGTGTTTGAACCTGGCTCATCTTAGGCCGTCTTCTTGCTGAGTGTCTGATTGCTGCAGCTGCACAAGAAGCCATTTGAACCATCTCTTGATGATTGTAGTTTTGCAAGTGTTTTGGGATTAATGAAACAAGAAACCGAATGAAGAGGCGGGGACCGACTTACCCAGTCGACCAAGCTGTCTTCCATTTCTCCAGTTAGATCCACATGAGGTCGTCCGGTTATGAGCTCAAGAAGCATTACTCCAAATGAGAAAACATCAGATTTGTCGGATAACTTTCCACTTGAAGCATACTCTGGAGCTAAGTATCTGAAACAAAGAAAATGTTTAAAACAAGTGAAAGACACGAAGTAAGTGTGAATGAGTTAAGACAGTTTACAAAGCTGTTTACCCAAAAGTTCCCATGACTCGAGTAGAGACATGAGTATAGTTGTCTTGAGATAACTTAGCTAATCCAAAATTAATCTGCCACCTACGTGTATATAAAAAATAAGACTGATACACACATAGACGCAGATTCGAAAGAAACTGAGAGAAAATGAAAGTAAAAGTAGTACATGAGCCAATGAGTAATGAGTAATGATATCAACCTCTGCTTGAAACTCGCGTTCACCTTGTTTAAGACTCTTCACTGCAACTTCTTTGCCACAAGGCAAAACTCCTTTATGAACATACCCAAATCGTCCTTGTCCTAGCAAATTTGACTGAGTGAAAACCTTCTGTTGCAATAGACAATTCATCGTACGTGAAAGTGCTTTGGTTGTGACCAAGAGTTGCAGCTTGAGGTGACATAGTAGCAGTTCGACCGGTTATGTTGGAAGTGTCATCATTTTCAGTTTAAACCGTTATCGTCTAATTCGTTGGCTAATCTCTAAATAATATTTTCGCATTATAATATTTTTTAGTTCTATATACAAAAAAGAATGTTTCAAAAATTATTTCCCCTAAAAGAAAACGTAGATATTTAAAAACGAACCAAATATAATATTTATTAGAGTTGGAAATGTGAATTAAAACAAGTATTTTTAGTCAATATAGACGGTTTTGCTAAACTCGAAAGTCAAAAAGTCAAAGGTCAAGGAGTCCATTATTATATAAACCATAGCTTTAATCATTTGATTATCAACTACAGTAGTATCGAAATTGAACCCGTTAACCCGCGACCCGAAACAATGACCCGGTCCGTGAATTTCCCTGTCTTCATCCTCGCCGTTGCACTCTCCCTTTCTTCTTCTCTCCTCGCCGTCAACACTCCGATGATCCCAAACCAATCCGCCGTGAGGTTTATGAAGGAGGTAAGATATACGATATCAGCCACCGTTACACGCCGGAGATTCCAGCTTGGGAATCTTCGGAGGGATTGGGAAAGACGTTCTTGCGATTAGCCGCGAGTATGAAGAATGGATCATTCGCTAACGTATCGGAGATGAAACTATCTGTTCACTCTGGAACTCACGTCGATGCTCCAGGTCACTTCTGGGACAATTATTACGACGCTGGTTTTGATACTGATTCGCTTGATCTTCAAGTCCTAAATGGTAATCTTAAATCTCATGTTTCTTTGATTTTAGTTGGGTTAGTCGTAAAGTTTTAAAATTGGGTTTTGTGTAAATTCTATATAGGTCCTGCTTTGTTGGTTGATGTTCCAAGAGATAAGAACATTACTGGTGAGTTTGTTGAATTTGTAACAAAATTGTTGATTTTAAAGTTAGGATCTTTGTCTAATGATTTGTTTTTGGGTTTGATTATTATTATTAGCTGAGGTAATGGAATCGCTTCATATTCAAAGAGGAGTTCGTCGTGTGCTCTTTAGAACATCCAACACTGACAAGTAAGAGTCTCAATATTATGAATGCGTGTGAAATAAGAGAGTGATTCAAGCTTACTCACTCTGTGGTTTAAATATCAGGCGGCTTATGTTTAAGAAAGAGTTTGATTCAAGCTTTGCTGGGTTCATGACCGATGGGGCGAAATGGTTGGTTGAGAACACAGACATCAAACTTATTGGTAGGAGATTGAAATTTCTGTTTCTTAGCTTTTCTTATCTTCATTGTGTTTCTGAAACCGTTTATTATGCATTGTGGAATCCAGGGCTTGATTATCTTTCCTTTGCTGCTTTTGAGGAATCACCTGCAACACACAGGGTTATACTTAAAGGACGGGTGAGTATATCTTTCTCTATAAGATAAAAGTATTCAAGTACCTAAACATTGCCAATTTTCCTGTGATGTTTGGATATCAAGCCATGGGATATGATTGAATATTGCTATATTTCACTGGACAAGAAAGTGAGAGAGATAGTTGGTTAGATAAGTAGGCGTAAATGTGAGACGAACTACATCGTAACACGTGAGATACACATGATTACAGGATATAATCCCTGTGGAAGCGCTGAAGCTGGATGGTGTGGAGGTAGGAACATACTCGCTTCATTGCTTACCGTTGAGATTGGTTGGAGCGGAAGGAGCACCGACAAGATGCATTCTCATCAAGTGATTCAGTTCATCTTCTTCTGTGTAAGTTGTTTAGTATACCAAACTGATAATGAATAACATGCTTCATATTTACATGGTCTCGGAACCCATGAAGCAGATGTGATGATTCAGTTGTAAAAGGAAGCATGCCTTTATAAACGTGTGTATGTAATGTATGTATGACAGTAATTCTGAAGGACATGATAATAAAATTAGACTGAAACAAACGAATAATATAACCACTTGTAGAGAATGCATGAATCTGATTAGACATGCGACCAAAGTAAATCAAAGGTAATCTCACATAGAATATATGAAAATAGATGTTGATGTTTGAAAGCCTTGTAATAAGAAAACACAAATCCAAATTAACTACTAGTCTATTTTTTGAGGTGGAATATAGTAAGGGGCATAGAACTTGCTTCTTAAAACTAGATTAGTATTGAAGCTATCAGCCAGATTGACAAGTCCGATTTCTCGGAAACTAAAGATGTGGACTGTGTTAGGCCACAGGCCGGGAAAAGAGCTAGCAGGGACACAAAAAGGTTCAGAGTTTGAGAGGAAAATGCAGAGATCTCCTATGTCTTTAGTGTAAACCGCATTTCCTTGTTCGTCTATCTTGAAGACCATCAGAGCTTTTGTTTGCGTATCAACGAAACCATCCTTGAAGGTCCCGAGGAGATTTACCTTTATGTACCACTTAACCAAGAAAGCTTCACCCGTGGATCGTGACTCCACCAAGTATGTGCGGCTGTTACACGAAAGCAAAAACTGACGTTCGGCCTCGGTCAGCTCGGGAAATTTTTTATATCGCAACTTCTGAAGCTTGGGTGTGTGCTTGTGTTCGTGGAGATCCCATGATCCAATAACGTGCCTTCCAATTCCGTTTATGCGAAACATGTCATCTTTCTTGGAAAAGATGACTTCCGATTCATAGAAGCAAGGGTCGATTTTGATGTTTATCCACTCGGAGTTATTTTGAGCCGGTCTGTAAAAGCTGAGTTGAGGTCCATGGAACTTGACAGCCACAACGCAGTCCTCATCCTCTGGAGAAGATGAGGACATTGCCACATTGGTGACATATCTGGCTTGGCAATTAGGCAGAGTTACAAAAGGAGGCAGCGGAATGCGTTTAGGAGCTGTATGCGATGCAAACGGGTTTAGATCGTCTTGGAGATGCATTATCCCGTTGCCCTTCATAGTAGCTACCCACCCATGAGATGAACCGATCGTTTTCACGTCACTAAGATAGTTATACACCAAATCTAGAGGTACCTTCTTATCCGAAACAATGGGTTCACCACGTTTAGTAGCATATGCAAACGCAAGTTTTCCTAGATCCGCTCCACATTCTTCAGCGCAGATGATAATACAAGGCGGGGTTTGCTGCAGGGAAGAAGATGAGGAGTCATTCGGAGATGATCTTACAAAGACCGGTTTCCGAAAGCAGAGCTTTGGAGGCTGGCAGAGAAGCAGAGACATATGATATGAATGTTCTTAACGCAAAAATAAAAGAAAGATTTAAGAAGGAAAAAGAAAAACAAGTAGAACCCTAATTGGTAATTCACGCCTACGCTACCTAAACAAGTAGAACCCTAATTGGTAATACATGGGAGGGAACTTGGCCACCAAGTTTTCCATCTCCAAAATCTTTGTTGCTTTTGACATAATCTTTAATTATGGATATTTTCCTTTATTGTTTTTTTTTGTTGGTTTTAAATTTTAATATCAAAATGGACAAGATCTTCATCACGCTGGTTTGTAACACTTGAAGGTGGCTGTTGTCAACATGAAGTCTGTGAGACATGGCTTCAAGGACTTGCTTCAGAGCTTCTGTTTTCTTGCGGAACCTTTTGGTGCTTTTGGGTACTTCATTAAAACAATAACATGCAAAAGAACTTGTATTTATCAATCCAAGAAACTACAGAGTAATCCTGTGAAGCTGCCTCCTCCATTTGCCCCATTTGGATCCCTGCGTTGCAGATGTTTGCAAAGGACCTCATGTGCTTGATACCGTACTGAGACAGCGATCCACAGTGCCTCTCAAGCTCTCACTATACATACAAAGATTATGCAGTTCTACTCTATATAAACATCAGTCAATAAGATTATAATTTGAAACTTCATAAACATTAGGATAAGAGTAATCAAAGTCCTGCATTACAATCAGTATGGCCTAGATTTATGAAGCGATTTCTATAGACAATCCAGTGGCAACGCAAGTTTCTTGACTTCTCTGCAGCCTGGCTAATAACAGAGTGCTCGGCTCAACAACCTCTATGAGATTTTTTCAATCTTACATTATGATCGATGTGATCCGACTATACCAATACGTTATTTTTCAATACTAACCATAAGGGCTGATGATAACATTGACACTACAAAGACCAAAGTATTAAGGGGCAAGTGACGTATTTATCACCAAATTTTTGAGGCAGTTCCAGTCATCGACTAGCTGTTGCCCAGCAGACCGTACAACATGAAGTCTGTGAGACATCGCTTCAGGACTTGCTTCAGAGCTTCTGTTTTTCTTGTGGAACCTTCTGGTGCTTTTGGGTACTTCATGAAAACAATAACATGCAAAAGAACTTGTATTTAGCAATCCAAGAAACTACAGAGTATCCAAAATATGCAAACAAGAATGGAGAAATAACCTTTTCCCAAAAATGGACAAGATCTGCATCACGCTGGTTTGTAACTCTTGAAGGTGGCTTGAGTGAGTTCGCATCCGCAAAGGTGAAATTGTCATTGGCAGAGTTTGTTCCCATACAAAGGTCGAGCTTATCCTTGCTAAGTCCTACATCGCCATATTGCATGACATGAGAACCATAAGCGAACCCAACACAGGTGCAGACCTCCTTTTCACCTGAAAACACAAAGACACACTTATGATGCACATATTTGCTAACAATCTAATTTATAGTTGAGAAAGTTTTAGCTCCATCATTACAAGCTTTCAATGGAAACTAGAAGCTTACCAGTTCATATTTCTGGTGCAGAGTCTCAGTCTGAAAAATGTGCATACCACTGTTGCAGAGTCTCAGTCTGTAAACAAATCAGAATCAATACATGGTACCATTCATAGAGATTTCTAAACATGAGAAATAGAACACTGCTAGTCCTATTAGAGTACTGGAATTCTTTAGCTTATCTATCTTCCATCCAAGCAACACTGTGCAAGTCAACTAAACAAGTTTCATACTTCAGTGGAGGACAAGGTTCCTCTCCAGGGCAACTGCTTTTTTCAGCGTTTGATGCAGTTGTGGCATAAATGTTCAAACCCTCTGGAAGAAGAAGCCCTTCAAAGATACTTCCAGATTCACAAGCTTGGACATAAAACACTTGCAGGTTTAGATTTGTTGGTATTACTCACAGGAAGTACCAAGAAGAAAAGTATTACAGAGGAACCTTAGTGATTTACCAAGCTTTTATAGGTTCCTGAAGCATGTATTACAGCTGAAGATTCTCATCAATGATCCTATAAAACCACACCGCAACTTAATATCTAGAATTTACCAAAACACCACATAGATCTTATATAAAGCAAAACTTCATGGAAACAGTTTATGAACAAGTCGTAGCATCTATTCACAGAGCCAGTACAAATGATGCAAGAACTCAATTTTTTCCTCATCTATAAAACCATAATTCAATGGTCAAATTAGGTATTTCTTAATGAATTGGATTAAGTGTCACACCAAAATCAGAATCAAGAAGCCAAGTATCGACAGATTCTGGGAAATTAAAACAAACAAGGTTAATGGAAGGCTCTATAGTTGCAAATGGTGGCCTCCATTTTTAGAATCACGAGAGATATTCATCCAGTTATCAAAGTGGTTTACCCTTACCAAATCAATCAGAAACATTACCAAGATTAAACCTTTCAACAATCATTAAAATAACCAAGATTAAACCTTCAACAATCACTTAAATAACCAAGATTAAACCGTCAACAATCACAAACCAAAACATTACATCTGAGAGATTTAACCATGAACAACCCCTAAAATACCAAAATATTACGATTTCCAAGAGACTAAACCATAAGCTAAACCATCAATCTTAAGAAATCCCTAAATCCCTAAATGTTAAATCTCTTCTCTTTCTCCTCCTCCTCCCGTGCTTCTTCTCTTTGTCTGCCTCCATCAATCTCTCTTCTCTTCTTTCTCCTTCTCCTCGAGTCTCTTCTTCTCTTCTTTCTTCTTCTCCTCGAGTTTCTTCTTCTCTTCATCTACCTCTGTGAGTATGTCATAGTAGTTTTTGCTGAGGGTTACCTTTTTCATCCCATGAACAGTTAGCTTGATTCCTTTGTAAGCACATCGGATTGAACAAAATTCTTTCACCCCCTCCAACTCAAAGTAAAAGATCATATCATCCCTGAGATCTTCTTGGGATGGTTCCTCAAAAGTGAAATATCCACTTTCTCCAAAACGTGTCTTCAACGCATAGTCAAAGAACTTGTTCCACCGAGCATGGCTTTCATAGTGAGAGCCACGCTCGGTGGATGAAGGAATTCTGCTTTTTGCCAAAGCTTCTATCTTCTCATACTCTTTCAAAGCCTCTTCTTCAAACTTCTTAAATTTCTCTTCTTCTCCACTTACCTCTTCAAACCCATTTGTTGCCTTCACTTTTTCTCCATGGGTTGACACACTAGACCCTAGCCAAATTTTTCCTAACCCATTTGTTTTGGATTTTACAGAAACCCCCAAGTGTTTGTTGACCAAAACATGAGAAAGAGGAGAAACTGGTTTAAACACTTTTCTGGGAAAAAAAACAGACGTTGGAAGGAAAAAAGAAGCCATTTTTGTTGTGAGAAATGAAGATGCTCTAGGTAGAAAATTAAGAAGAAGAGATGTGAAGTAAAACTGATAATGTACTATAAAGCAAATCAAAGAATCGTTGAATGGACTACATTTTGAATTTGCAGAGAAATTCATGATCCTGAATCACAAAAAAAGAAATTTACCAAGACAAGGGAAAGAGAAGGGTAAAACTGATTTTTATGAGAGAAAATGGAAAGAAGGAGTTAATCTCTCTGTTTACGTGTTCCAGCTTTAGATGACAGCGCAACACAATGTATTATTATTTTCTAATAACTACACACATATAAAATAGTAAGAGATAAAGGATCCATAGATAAATTAATATTGTACAAGCTAGCTAGATTTTTCTTGTTACCGTTGAACTTCTATGGAATATTTTTACTACTTAACATGTCTACAGTAGTTAAAAAAGAGCGAATAAATCTCTAACACTATTTCCCTATTTTAAAATCTATTTCTCACTTTTGTTTTGGATACAAATTTATGCTAGTATTTTTCTGATGAACGTCCATGCAGTTCTTCTATGTTGCATGAAACATGCGCTTCTACTTTTTTGGTGAACATGCGCTTCTACTTTATTGATATATAAATTTGGAGTTACCTTACTTTGACTTTGTTTTGTAATTCGTTTTTTATTCTCTTTGGAGCCAACATTCTTTTTGTTTATTGGGTTTCTGCTAAATTACATAAAGTTCCTTTAAGTAACCTAATAAAATGGGTGTTTAACTATAACTACCCTACATTTCTTAAATTTTATGGGCTGCTTACGAAAACCTTACAAAAAATTATTAAGAAAATTAAAGTACCGCATAGCATGCATCAAGATTCAATTAACATGACCACATCAAGAGGTTATCTACTTATATCTAATTCTATTTTATATAACCACATCGAGATTGGTTATATACTTATATCTAATTCTATTTTGATATAATGTGAGCATAAACAAGAGGGACGAAAACAACACTAACATGAATATCGAATAATGAATAAATATTTAAAAAATTACCATTAATTATACGGACCCAATTCCTTGAACTTAGCGGTCCCGTCCTTAGCCGTCAGATCATCGACGCCCAACCGGGAACTCTACGCGGTTGATCTCTCCGTCGCTAGAGTCGTCTGCAACTCGGAAGACTCCCTCGTCGTCATTGGCCAGCTTACCGACGAGCTGATCATGGAAGTCTTCAAGAGCCACTCCACTTGGTCGTTTTGGAAACTGGGTTCCTCGAGATCTAGATCAGGTTTTGGAACTAGTAAGATCGAAAAGAAACTTCTGGTTGTAGCAGAGAACAGGGTAAGGAAGATCAAATGTGGCGAGGTGGCCTTGTACTGGCTTGTTTGGATTCACACGTGTTTTGCTCACTATCCTTATCTTCATGGTGAAAAGAGAGTATAAACTAGCCTTTTGAACTGCTTTTGGATGTGAGACGATAATGTAGTGTGGAGTGGTGAAGAAAGAACTAAAGACGGTAGCGAGTAGTTGGGTTACTCATTTAATGTTCCTAGGAAGTAGTTGGCATTTAACTAATGACTCAATCAATTAAACTCTTTTTTTTTTTTTGGATTAAAACAACTAAACTCTTATCTTTAGATTTATCTTACTTGATCGTTGATTAAATCTTTTATTTGTGATTAGACGGTAGCGAGTAGTTGATTAAATTTTAGCCTGAAAAGTTGGTAAAACTCAGAAGTATCCGCTTGCGAGGGGAGTTTAATAACATCATCCGGGCCTTCTCTACCGGCGGAGACGGAAATCACCGAGAGAAAGAAAACGAGAAGAGGAACGCCGACACGTGTCATCGTTATGGCCCGGGTTTTTGGCGAGTGATGATGATAGGAATTTTTTTTTATTGCCGGAATATTCAAAATAATTGAATCTTTTATCTGATTGGATAACACATACGTTGGTTTACACGCAAGCTAAAAATTGGATATTTACTTATTTAGTTTTATAAATGGTTATATTTGCACATTTAGCCATATTTTAAAAATTCTATTGCGTAATGACCCTTCCTTTTTTTCACATTGGCTCGCGATTTATTTATGATTTTTGTTTACTTGGTCAACAAAAAAATGGACATGTTTTCAATTTGGAAAAAAGATGGCTGGCTACACGAAGTATCCGCGAAAACATGGTCACACATGCAAAGTTTAAAAATGTATCTCTAACTATACAAACTATATGTATCGCATGCCCACATATACGAACTATATGTAGTCATGTCGCCAACATCACAAACATTTTTTTCCAATATATTTTTCGCCGGAATCTGGTATTGACCAGTTTGACCGGCGTTGACCGTCGTTGACCAACATAAAAATTCAAAAAAAAAAATTTTTTTTAGTTTTTTAATATTTAGAAAATTATGTTATTGAATCATTTATAATATTATATAATTAAAAAATATATACAATATTCAATATAAAAATATTTTGTATATATATTCAATGCATTGATTTTTATAATTAGTTAGTTTTGATAATTTCAAAACTAAACTAAAAATAAAATAAAAACCAATTAGGTAAAATAATTGTAAATATGAAATTTTCTATACTCTCTAGTCTAAAGTTTTTGTATAATATGTTGTTAATTTTTATATCTAAAATTATTACAAAAAATTCTTTTAATAATACAAAAAAAATTAACAACATATTATAAAAAAACTTTAGACTAGAGAGTATTTAAAATTTTCTATTTATAATTATTTTACCTAATTGATTTTTGTTTTATTTTTAGTTTAGTTTTGAAATTATTGAAACTAACTAATTATAAAAATCAATGCATTGAATATATATACAAAATATTTTTATATTAAATATTGTATATATATTTTTAATTATACAATATTATAAATGATTCAATAACATAATTTTATAAATATTAAAAAACGATTTTTTTTTTTTTTAATATTTATGTTGGTCAAAGCCGGTCAAACTGGTCAATGCCGGATTCCGGCGAAAAGTGTACCGGAAAAAAATGTCCGTGATGTTGGCAACATGACTACATATAGTTCGTATATGTGGGCATGCGATACATATAGTTCATGTAGTTTATGATCCATTATTAAACTTTGCATATGTGGCCATGTCTTCGCGGATAGTTCGTGTAGCCAGCCATCTTTTTTCCTTTCAATTTCATAGGCACATTTTTTAATTGTTTATTATTTTTTTTGGTTAAAGGGCTTACTTGAATTAATTAAATTTAATACTTATAAAGAAGCAAGAAAGAACCAATACAACTTAGAGAAGAGGAAAGGTGACCAATTCTGGTACAAAAGGAGAGATAATGATCCAAAACTGGTAAGAGTCTGAATAAAAGATTGAGGAGGCAAAAAGCCTAATCAAATTAGCCCGAACCGAACCAGCATTAAAGAATAGATAAACCACGCTTTGAACCAAGCTGGTGCATTGCTGAGCACTTGTTTTCCACAGAAACAATGACATGATTTGCGACCCTTACCGGAGGAAGAGACAAACCATCATGGTAATAACGATTTCTTTCTCGCCACAGTTCGTATATTGCACCTTGCCAACCTTGAAGGAGAGCCATTTTGGAGTATCATGATTGTGCCGCCATAGGGAGCCAACTGATAATTTGATCCCATTTTTGAATTCTTTCACTGTTTGCAAAAATTTCTGTGATTAAAACTAAAAGGAGAATACAAAGCAGAGAACATGAGAATCATGCCAAGGAAGAAAATAAGGCATCGTGCACCATTTTTGGTGATCATGTCTTTCGCGTTTAACTTGCAAACAATTTTAAGATGAACCTGAGGATGTTAAAATATGATTTGAACTTTTTCAACAAAATATATATATATATATATATATATATATATATATGATTTGAATTTCAGACTAAATTAGTTTAAACTATATATTAATTATTTCAATTTGGTTCCTTTTTTTCGGATTAAACACTTAATATTGGAATAGGAGCCTCATTTAACTTTCAGAAACAGTGTTAGGGCCAGCGTGGAAAAAAACATGATCAGCACCTTTTTGGATCCTCCAAAGTACTTAATGTATAACTTATCGCATTGGAGCGTTAGGCTTCATAAATCTTGAACTAAAGGTCATAGTATAATCATACTTGAACTGAGGCTGAGGTGTAGTATATTCCCGATGGTTACATTGTCCTGTATTGGACAAAACACAAACACGTCATTCATTCAACACAAACACTGAAACACACCATTACATTGTATTGGACCAAACACATCATTCATTCACTACAAAACATAAACTCCGCGTAGGTTCTTACATCCATCATTAAAGCACAAACACAATTGTCTTAATTATATTAAATATTATTCTTATACTCAAAATATAAACCTAAAAAGGAAAAACCATCACCAACAATCACCAAAGCAAATCTTCAAGCTACGGAGTTTGATCGCTGCTAACTAATTAGCGATCACATCGTCAAAATATAAACCTTAATTACACACCCCAAAAAAAGAAATGCTGCTAACTGGCACATAATAATAGGTTGGAAGATTGATGAAAGATGAAAGCAAAAGTTTCTCCAAGAGCATATTTATATCAATCTCACATAGAATATATGAAAATAGATGTGATGTTTGAAAGCCTTGTAATAAGAAAACACAAATCCAAATTAACTACTAGTCTATTTTTTGAGGTGGAATATAGTAAGGGGCACTGAACCCGCATCTAAAAACTAGATCAGTATTGAAGCATTCAGCCAGATTGACAATTCCGATTTCTTGGAAACTAAAGAGATGGACTGTGTTAGGGCATAGGCCGGGGAAGGAGCTAGCAGGGACACAGAAAGGTTCAGAGTTTGAGAGGAAAATGCAGAGATCTCCTATGTCTTTGGTGTACACCGCATCTCCTTGTTCGTCTATCTTGAAGACCATCAGAGCTTTTGTTTGCATATCAGGGATAACGTCGTCGAAGTTCCCGAGCTCCTTCTTGTACCACTTAACCAAGAAAGTTTCACCCGTGGATCGTGACTCCACCAAGTGTGTGCTCATGTCACACTTACACGAAAGCAAAATCTCACGTTCAGTCTCGGTCAGCTCGGGCGATTTTTGGTATCGCAACTTCTGAAGCTTGGGTGTGTGCTTGTGTTCGCGGAGATCCCATGATCCAATAACGTGGCTTCCAATTCCGTTTATGCAAAACATGTCATCTTTCTTAGAAAAGATGACTTCGGATCTATAGAAGCAACGGTCTGCGATTTTGATGTTGATCCACTCGGAGTTATTTTGAGCCGGTCTGTAAAAGCTGAGTTGAGGTCCATGGAACTTGACAGCCACAACGCAGTCCTCGTCCTCTGGAGAGGATGAGGACATTGCCACATTGGTGACAAATCTGGCTTTGCAATTAGGCAGCGTTACAAAAGGAGGCAGAGGAATGCGTTTAGGAGCTGTATGCGATGCAAACGGGTTTAGATCGTCTTGGAGATGCATTATCCCGTCGTCGTTCATAGTAGCTACCCACCCATGAGATGAACCAATCGTTTTCATTTCACTAAGATAGTTATACACCAAATCTAGAGGCACCTTCTTATCCGAAACAATGGGTTCACCACGGTTATTAGCATATGCAAACGCGAGTTTTCCTAGATCCGCTCCACATTCTTTAGCCCCGATGATGATACAAGGCGGGGTTTGCTGCAGGGAAGAAGATGAGAAGTCATTTGGAGATGATCTTACAAAGACCGGTTTCCGAACGCAGAGCTTTGGAGGCTGGCCGAGAAGCAGAGACATATGATATGTATGTTCTTAACGCAAAAATCAAAGAGAGATTTAAGAAGGAAAAAGAACAAGAAGTAGAACCCTAATTGGTGATTCACGTTTATGCCACCTAAAACCCTCCGTTATACAGAGGAAGGAACTTGGTCACCAAGTTACATTATTTTTGAATATGGATAGTTTCCTTCTTTTTTTTATTGGTTTTGATCTCATTAACTTCATATTCCAAGTGGAGTTCGTCGTGTGCTCTCATTAGAACATCCAACACTGACAAGTCAGTCTCAATATGTTTAAGAAAGAGTTTGGTTTGAGAATACAGACATCAAACTTATTGGTATGAGATGAAATTTTGGTGTCTTGGCTTTTCATGTTTATTGTCAAGAGTATTTCTTTGATTGTGTTTCAAATTAGACCGAAACGAACCATTTATATAACCAGTTGTAGAGAATGCTGAATCAAGTTAAACATGCTAACCAGAGTAAATCAAAGGTAATCTCATCTCCATGTTGGCCCAAAAGTGTCTTGTCACGAACCATTTATATAACCAGTTGTAGAGAATGCTGAATCAAGTTAAACATGCTAACCAGAGTAAATCAAAGGTAATCTCATCTCCATGTTGGCCCAAAAGTGTCTTGTCTTGCAACAATAGCATTCTTCCTCTTTATTGAATAAATAAATACAAAAAACACAACCCAGAAATTATTTAGACATACAATAGCAGAGACTCCAGGACAAATAATAAACAGATGGTCTTGGAATGTGTAGAATCGAAAGAAAAGAACGTTTTGTTGAAGCACGTTTTGTTTTGGACAGGGGAAAAAAGGAAACACAATCTGTGTGTGTTTGGTTGCATTCCATTATATTGAAAGAAACATGCAAGTCCCATCAAGCTTGCAAGAAGCTAGCGTACTTGGCACCAAGGAGAAGCCTCTGAATGCACAAGAGAGCGTTCTTGGTCACCTCAGTGTTCTCGTGGTTCATCAGCTTCATCACTCGTTCTTTTGCCTTGAGGTCTGCTACGATCACTCTTCCCGCTGCATGGTACTGTATGAACTGTGAGATATCAAAGCATGCAACCGCCAATGATCTGGGATCACTTGACGTGTCCAGGATTGTGAGGAGGACCCTTAGTATCTGCATCCACAAGTTTAACAAGTGGTTAGGGTTGTTGTGAACAGGATTGAACTAGCGCGCTCTAAGCACTACAAGTGGTGGTGTTGAGGAGAGAGGAATAAAAGAAGAATACCTGGAAGTCGTTCTCCTCAAAGCATGTGACATTCTCACGCCAGAAATTGGCCTCTTTGTGCATTGGGTTCCAGTCAAGATGGCCAAGAAGCACCTCTTGCTTATATTTGTCAAAGGAACTCAATTTCTTGATCTTGTCTTTTAGCCCTTCTTCTAGTTGATTCAGTGCATCCAGCAAGTCCTTACAAATCCAGAATTTAAGGGGTTTAGCTATCACCATTACTAAAACACATCTAATGTGACCGGCATCACTTATATCACCAGATTTAACAGAAAATTAAGAGATTCATGTTCCAAATAACAGCTAACAAGCATTTAAGTTGTCTTACCTCGTCACTCCATGCTTGTGTTTTTAGACTCTGGATAATATGTGGGAGTCCAAGATCAACCATCTGGGCACCAAATGTACCTTTTGGAAGCAGGTTCCTGAATGTCAATATGACCACCCTGACAACCTGTAACACAAAATACTGTCAGATAAACATAACAAGTGTATCACGCCACATTTATCCAAATTAATGATTCAAAACAAATAGAAGAAACAAAAGTCGTGGGTATTGCATGACAGAGATTCTGATTGATCAACCAAACCATGTCCTATGATCTTTAACTAATTGCAGGATAGCAATGACCAAGTCACAAAAGAGAACATAGCTCACCTTTTCCTTAGTCGAGTTCTTAACCACTTCCGTGAGCCTTTGCATTGTCCTCGATGTTGCCAAGTACTCTATTGCAGGTTCATAATAGGACAGAAGCCAGACGCAGAGACATGTTTCATACAGAAGCTGTTGGTCGAAAGCACACAAATCACATGAATTAGGTACTGAGAAATTATGACAAAAAAAAGAGAGAGGTGCTTCAGCCACATTTTAGAATAACGGAGCTATATAAATCAATAGATTTTGTAGTCATTTGAAAATGAAGTTATTTTCCCACAGAGTGTCTGTCTAGTCATTGCCTTTCCGTTAAGGACTAAGCATGATTTGGAAACTGCAATACTTATTTACTCCTTTATGGACATTTTTCACTGAAAACTACTTCCATTAGATATAAAAGGGACAAGTAACTTCACCCCATCTGCCTGAACAAATGACGATCTGACGACAGGTTCCTTAAGCAGCCTTAAGCAGTGACGACAGGTTCCTTAAGCAGTGACGACAGGCAACTGATTGCAATTGGAACACCACGAGTAGGATGAGAAGGTTGCTTCAACTGCATATCAAAATTAAGGATTGAGATATCTATGGTGGACATCAAAAGCTTTTCTGGATTCACTATGTCACAATATTAAAGGTTCCTTCCAGATCACCAAATTTGCATCTATTTACCAAAATCAAACAATTTTGCATACACCAATTGATATTAATTAGTGTTTGCATTTATGTAATATAACAAAGGCATGGCGAGGGTAACACAGCAAATACTAACTGCCTCTGTTTTCCCCTCTGTTTGCATGCTATACCAATGAGCTCTAGCTCTAACAATGGCATTTTCTATACGATAATGACAACTAACACTTAAACATTAATGCAAGACCAACATTAACTAGAAAGAAAACAAAGAGGAAAGAGAGAAAGAAAATAGAAGAAGAAACCTGAGCACAAAGCCATTCCACCAACCCCTTGAGAACGTCATCAATTCCATTACCAATAACAGCATTACCAGCTTTTGGCCTAGCACTATATGTTGAGAGAAGAGCAAGACCCACCAAGAAAATGAGGCTGTATGTTACAGTCATATTTAATTAAAGTATGATAAACGGTTTTGAATACCTTATTATCCAGGCAAGGATCTTGCAGCTTTTTTCTTGAATGAACCAATTTCCCTTCCACAGCAACCTGAAAGAGGACACATCCTTTAGCTTGCATACTTTTGAAGATAAGTAATTAAGCAGCCAAAATCAAGCAAAAATGTAACAATAGCATTTTACATATGTTTCCCATTTGTCAGGAAGATTGTAGTTAAAATAATAAAATGACTAGGGCCAACAGAAACAACATATTTGACCCAATAAGCGAATCTATCCTATAAAAAACTTGCCTGGACCAAATTACAGTTGTAAAACTTTTGCTTAGGGTCTCACCTCAAGAAAGGCTCATAAGTATCCTCATTTGCCAAAGATTCATCATGGAATAATCGAGCTCGTGTTGGGTTTGCTGGCAAACAGTTGATGGATTAATATTAGTCAGTCACTAAAATGAAGAAAAGGTACAAAAGCAAATAATTTCAAATTTCATTTACCTGAGAGCATTTCATAAATTAAAGCCAAAACATATTCCACAGTTTCTTCCTTGAATATATCACGTAAGATGCTAACAAACAGATGAACATAAGCTGGACCATCCTGCAATAACATTATAATGACAAGGTAGGTAAATGCTTGCGTGGTCATTATACAACTTCAACCACTAATAACAAAAAGAAAGTGACTCAAGTGAAAGTCTATGTAAACTGTTTGAAAGGAGAAAAAAAAGAGTAGTAGAAAATTTACTTCATCGAGCAACTGTGCCCTGGCACTTTCAGGTTTTTTATCATAGCGCCTTAAGAGCTGGAGACCTTTAGCTGAAACAAGCTTAGTGTTCATGTAAGTCTCCCATGGAATGTCCCTTTTCAATACCTGCAGAGTAAAATAGCAACAAGATAAACATTTGTAAGTAGTCAAGTTGCAAAGATCTATAACCAACGGTCTGCATCATCCTGTTTCAACTTGTCATCATTTATATATCTTACCAGAAATTGAAAGTTCAACAATGTATATTGATGTTAAATACAAAAATACATCTAATGAATTAGGTTTATTTAACGGAAAGTATCACCGACCTGCTCTATACTCAGCTCCGCCTGATCCATGAGTAACACCACTTGAAATTGAACTGATCCGAATCCCTACAAATGTAAGACATAATCGTATAAGAGAAAGCTAGAAATATTTCAGAAAAATGGAAAGATCTGATACGAAATTCGTTAATATCGTGTCACAATTGACCTTTCAATCAACGAGAATGCATAAGAAAGACGATCTATAAGCATCCATTGAAATGTCAAGAAGAGAAAACCAACAGATCATGAAGCAACGCAATTCAAATTTCAATAAAGAAGCATTCGTAGCTAAATCGATTGAATCAGAACAACAGATCCGATCACTCAAAATCAGAGGAGAGAGAGAGAGAGAGACAGAAATCGAGATTTTGGCGTAGAACAAACGAAGGAACAACATTACTAACCTGAAATTCTGCAAACGAGTTTGATCGAGACGAGAACGGAGAAGCCAAAAGTGAAAGATCTCTTCTTCTTCTGAAAAGATAAGCTTCTCTCAAACTCGGATATCAACCATGGGAAGGAAGGACTTTAGAAGAAAGAGTCGAGAGGCGATCAAAACAAAAATAAAAAAATCAATCAGATGCTGACAGTTTTCTATTCACTCGAATTCCAATATTACCCCTACATTTACTCACTTATTACGATTTTGGACTTTGATGAAAAGGAAATGTGAAAACGCTTAAAGCCCAGATCCACATCATGGTCCATGTCCATTGTAATGGGTTTTGAGTAGTGACAGGTAGTAGAAAGGATTAGATATATTTCTAAACTCTTTTTTCCATCAAACCTTCAAGGAAAGAAGATGACTCGAAATCTCATTTTCATTCAACATAAAGAAACACAAACGTATGAGTCTTCAGTGGCCTTTGTTTGTTTTTTTTTTTTTTTTTGGACAGCCTTCAGTGGCCTTTGTATGTCGTAGGTTTTTAAAATGTATTTTTGTTATCTTTGAGGTCTTAAAACTTGAATTTGTTTCTGTAAATACATTATCAAACATTATTATTATGTACTTCAGAATCACACACAAATTTACACATTTATTTAGGCCTGCTAAATAATTGGATCAAACACAATGACGAAATTTAATTGACAATATAAATTTGGCTCAAACACGCTTGCTCGTCTTTCATCTGGAAACAGATTCAACTTATTATTCCTCTTCTACTTGTCTTCGTCTTCTTGCTCTCTCGATTCTTGGTTCTAAACACAATGACGAAATTTTCTGAATTACCAACCGATGTTATCATTTCTTGCGTGGCTAGAGTTCCAATCAACAATTATCGTGTTCTTTCTTTGATCTCTAAACTCATCGCTTCCATGATAACGTCTTCGGAACTCTTTGTTGCAAGATCGGCTGAGAGATCGAAAGAGACACTGGTGTATTGTTGTTTCACAGATCTTAATCAAGTACCAAGATGATATTCGTTGTAAAGGAACAAGTTATTTGGGGGGCGTGCGTTCTCAGACCGTCGTAATCGGTGAGTGGATAGTAATAATCGTAAGGGGTCAAATAATCTCGTATGATAAAAACAATATGGTTTGGAGGAGTGTTAAGAGAGTTTTTAAGAGCTAAAACCACCGAGAGTCTCTGAAAAAGAGAAAGAAAGATTTATCACCGACGTTGGCGCCATAATATATTAATAGAAAAATATATTAAAATTAAACCTAAAAGCTTAGGGAATTTTTGTTTTTTTTTTCTTTCTAGTTTTTGCGGATGATGAAAAAAATAAAAAAAAAATTTGACCCAATATTGTAATTTGACTTAAAATAAAATAAAACTTAACCCAGTTAAACGTTTATATAACAAATGCAAACGCTAAAAAGCCTACAAAGTGAGTTCAGAGTGTTGAATAGAATTTTCAATTTTGGTTGGGTTTCAAGAGGAATTTCAAGGTTATGAGTGACTATAACAAGGACATGCGAGTGCATGCCTCTATTTCCCATACCAAAAAAAAAAAGAGATTTATGTGAAGATAGGTCAATCTTAAGAGTAGTAGAGAGAGAAGATACCCACAAAATCTTTGGCTAATTACAAGACATCCTTTTGCAGTGATGACTGATGAGACCAAACCCTCTTCATTACTTCATTCAGAATCAACACATTTATGTGTTAGTATGTCATAATAAAAATGAAAACATAATATTATTGAAAAACCAATCCATTGATTCGTTTTATTTTACTTTTTGTTTTGTTTTGTCAAATCTTTGAATTGACCTCGAATTTCTCATTGCAATTAATTTCTTACCCACACGTTGCTAGAAACAATTACTGACCCTCCCAATACTTCTATCGATTCAATCACTTTGTCAAGTTTATGTGGGTACATGCAAATTTTGACTCGATGTTGTTTCTATTTTCGTAGATGCAAGCTTTGATTAAACCCTGCATATATGTGTTGTCTTTGATTCTAGCTGGACCAGTCGGATTGAATATAACCATCTAACATTTAATTGTCCAAAATATATATTAATTGTTTCTGAAACATTCCCAAAACAGAAGGAGCTATAATCATTATACAGACACTCAATTTCGTTTCTTTTATAATGAATGATGCATATTTAATCAAAATCGACCACACTAATCTATGCTCACAAGGGTGGATTAGTTGCCATACTAATCATAAAACATAGGAGCATTATAAATCTCTAGTCTGGAAACATATCTGATTTCTTATCATCAATTAATTTATTCACTTAATAGATAGTTATCTCTCAAAAGGCAACTTAAAATTAAAGTTTGTCAACAAAAATAAAAAACTCAGAAATTAATGAAAAAGTTTCAGATTAACGTTAACCTTTTTTTATACAACAGTGTTTGTCTATTGTCTCTTGTCTAACCAAATGTTTGTAGATTGAGATTTATCTTGTAGGTTGAGATTTAGATTGCTTTTACATATTTTAGCATGGAATAAAAATATTCAAGAACATGTAAGATTCATTTATATCTTTAAATCTAAATGTATCAAAGAGTTGAATGTAATATATGTCTTTTTATAATGCTCAATAGAAAATACTTTACTTTTGGTTACTATGTAATAAAAATGAAAGATAAAATTCAATAAATATCACAAGTACAAGAGTAGTAATGGTAGGTAAAAAATAAGTTGAAATGAATCTTACAACTCATGAGGATAAAAAATGAAACGAAGCTCTGACTTTATTTAATATGTTGGCATAGTTTTGCTCATTCGTTTCCTCTGTCAAAATCCCGACATTTACTTGTTCAAGTAATACGTTCGTACGATCCAACCGTCAAGTCCATAATATGCATTATACCTACATATATGTCTTCTTTTTATCTACGAAGAAAAAAAAAAGTAAATGGAAATTTTTAGCGTACAAAAAATAAAAGATTCTGATATAGTCATAATTTTGTGTGACCACGATTTCAGAGTGAATCGTTTACCCACGAATTTGGACAACATGTAATACATATCTCGTGAGTTTCATCTTTCTTCTCTAATTGTTGTACCATATATATGATGATTACTTTTAGACAAAAAAAAAATATACTTATATATATGATGATTACCTTTACTCCAATACGACAAATACAATATGAAAATCTAAATCCTATATATATATATATATATATATCATAGATATTAAACTTCAAAATCCAAATATAATAATATTTAATTATTCATATCATTTATATATATATATATATATTCAATGTACAGTATATATTCAATATAGTTTCTTATTTCCAAAAAAAAAAAACGAGTTATCTTATTTCTCTTGTTTTTTTGTTTATTTATATTGTTGATAATTATCTATTAATCCCCTTTTTTTGGTTAGACTAGAAAAAAATATTACCTTGCTTAATGTTGGTAGATTGGTAGATAACAATTTAATTTGTAAGACACTCAATAGAAAGAGGAAATTTGATAAGTAGAAGAAAACAAACTGGGTCGCTTATCCAAAAGTTAGATATAGTAGTATAACGTAACAGCATGTTATTAGTTTATGCGCATTACAATATATACGTTTATTATCGTTATATACAAACGAATTTTCTAATTATTGCATCTCCAATTTCGTAAACCCTATAAGAATAATTAACTTCACATCATATATCATTAAAAAATTTGTCCAAAGACTATAGTGATTATATATACTTTTTATTTGCTAACAAGTATGTTGGTGTAAGAGCGTCCTATGAGATTCACACTGATAATCTCTCTTGATGTCATTCTAGTGGACAGAACGTAGAAACCAATTGATAACAAAATTGGTATTCTTATCATTTACTTCTTTCATTGTACATATATCACTATACTATATGCATTATTGAATGGATGTTAAAATAACTTATCGTAGAGAGTCTACTGTCGAAATATTCTAATTTCAAACAGCAACTGTCTCTCTAGCTCCAATCGATAAAATCATGCAAAAAAAGGAGAAAATGTTTGGGGATGTTTTGTATGTTTCTTGATGTTTCTTTGTGAAACCGTGAGATTTGAGATTTGGCTTTATCTATAAAATTGTGACCACTATTAAATTATATGGATACACAAATTCCACATTGGATACCAGTTGCAATATTGGGTTTGGTCTGTTTATATCAGCAAATATTTCATTTAAACATATACTCTTTTGATACAGAACAAGTATATAATTCAATAACCGTACCATTCATATATGCCTATGATTTTATTTTTGTATCTTATGAGCCTTTTTGAATCTTACCATTACTCTCACGTACGCCGAAAAAAATAAAATTACTCTCTTGTCTTCTATATTAACCTCTTTTTATTGTTCACCCAATGTATTCAACTCCATTTATTTATTTTGTGTAACTTTTTCCAACAATATATATATATATATATATATATATATTATATGTCACAAATATGTGAATTCACTTAACTAAATCATTTTTTTTAATCATATTATTTTTAAAAGCCTCATACGAATATTTGACTTTGAGACACAACATCGTGAATCTTCATAGTTTCGACATAAAAAATTATAGACACTTAGACAAAAATCCAGATATATACCTTCGTTATCTAAAAGGTTGTTAATAGAATAATAAACTAAATGTTACATTCATTTGGGTATGGTATATTGATTGAAAATGGTCTACAAAGGCTCAAATTGCTATGCATATATTATTCATACGTACGGATATTTAAGATAACATTTACAGGCTATAGCCATATAAAATAGACATAAAATATGCATGTATATATGAGAACTGAGAAGTGTGGAGATAAAAGCATACAATAATGTGAATCACGAAATAGAACAAGGGTTTGGGACCTGCAATCTGATTTGTCTTAAGGAGAGGGCCATGGGGACAGGTTCTGCAATTGCAGCTCACACTATACCATTTATTTTTTCCATCAATATTATATTTCAATTTTGGACCTACTTCATTTATAACCCTTATATTTTTCATTTTGATTTTTCTATCATTATTGCCATAATTGCTCAATTAATTACTAATGATTAGAAGAGATCTTTGGATGCGTCCCATTTATGTCTTATGTTGCATGTT